ACATAAATGAGACCTTGTTGGGCCGGGCCATGTGTGTCATAAAATGTAATGCCAGGTAGCGGAGATATAAACTTTATAAAGGACACAAACACAAAGGTTTTTTTTAACTTAAAGTAAAACATGCTTAAAACGTTAGCACTCTTGCAATATTTTCATTATTTAACAGTGTCTGATAACTAACACCTATTGCTTTGAATTATTACATCAAAATGTCTGTGCTGTTGCAATCTTGAGTAGGCTGTTCAGGTGTGTATCTGTAAGCTGCAAACCTACAATGACGCAGCAGCAGCAGTACTGGAAGAAGAAGCAGAAGACAGCCAGTTCCACTGCAGGCCTGACAGAAGCCCTTTGGGGGCCTCATCCACACACACACACCCCCGAGCCGCATGTTTGACACCCCTGCTTAAGAGGGAGAGGGGAAAGGAGGAGTACAGGTGACCAGAACCCTGGCTTCCATGACATATATCAGGTAGGCCTGTACCATGTTCAAGCCCCAAGCCCTGATGTCTTGAGGGCTAGGAACTTGCTTTTCAAAAAAACACATGCTGGTTAACATTTCCTGAAGCTATTTTAAGAAGGGAAGTTTCACGTTTTGGTAGCCATTTCACAGGGATCTAGGGAACAGAAGGCCCTTACAGAAACCTCCATGGACCTTTGTTTTATTAAAGCACATTTCTTTTTTCCTCTGCAGGGTGAAAAAGGCCCCCCAGGTGCAGCAGGAAGCCCAGTGAGTATCCCAGCAGCAAAGGACACTGTGGGAGACTTGTTTAGATTTCTTGGACCTGGCTATGAGACCCTTGACCCCAGGGTGGAATTATGTGCCTTTCCATAGTTCTTTTTCTTAAGGGTCTAAAACAGCTGTGGATGGTTGAGTGGAATGAGGGGTGGGGGGAGAGGAAGGGGCTGTTTAACCCTTCTGTTTCCAGCTATTTGTTTGCTTAAAGTTACCCTCCCTTCTTCCCAGCTGCTTTTCTCTCCAAGAGATAAAAGACCCAGGTGCACCTTTAAGCATGGGGGGGGGGGGAAGATGTGGGCGTGAAACATTTCACAGGTGAAAACTAGGACATGGTTTCCTCCCATACCAAGGATCGCTCCACTGTTGCATATTGGGTTTGATTCAGACATAATTTGAAACCTTGGTTTGGCTTGAGAAATGCTAATTTCATCACCTTCACTCTATGAATAGTTCACTCTATGAACTGAGCCATCACTGAAGGCTCTTTGCTATATGCTGTATTAATTTATCCCACAATGCCCCTGTCCCTTAGTGATAGAGCCAAGGATGAATCATAGCTGCCCTTTGATAACATGTTGTCACTAATTCCAAAAGCACATTAGCAGTGGCAATTTATGGACACTGTGTAGTGCCTTAGAGTTCATGCATCTGCACTGACGGACAAGCACACTTGAAATGCATCTATCTATCCATTCACAGATATCACTTGTAAAGATCTGAGAGAGGGAACTCACGTGTACAAAATTTTAACATCTCCCCCAAAAAAGGGAAAAAAGGAGGAGGGAGAGAATGGTTTGCCAGGGAGAGGGTCTGGAATATAGGGCCTGAGGCCATGATAAGTATGGTGGAGCATATGGTGCCTGCATACCCCATAGCCAGAATTCTGGAGGCCTGCCTAGGCCATAAAATCCTTATTGTTTCTCCAGCAAAGAAGAGAGCTTTCATGAATACTACATGGTAAGGTTGCCATCTTCCAGGCGGAGCCTGGACTTCTCCCGGAGTGACAGCTGATTTCCAGTCTACAGAGGTCAGTTCCCCATGGAGAAATTGGCAGCTTTGGAGGATGGACTTCATGTTATACCAGAGATTCCAGATGAAATCCCTCCACAGGCACTGCCCTCAAATCACCAGGAATTTCCCAGACCAGAGTCAGCAAACCTGTGTGGAATCTGGGTCGATAAATGCAGTTTTGGCAGCCCTTTCACCACCCTGCCAGAAATGTCACCAGGAGAGCATAGCATGTTTTCTGCGATGGCAATTTTGCTATGCCTTTAAGCAAGTTGACCATAGCGTTGCCAACTCCAGCTTTGGAAATTCCCTGGAGATTTGGGGGCAATTCATGGGGAGGGGAGGGAGCTCAATGGAGATGTGATGTCATAGAATCCACCCTCTGAAGCTGCCATTTCCTCCAGATCATCTGATCTCTGTAATCTGGAGATCAGGTGTAATTCTTGGAGAACTCCAGACCTCACCTGGAGGCTTGCAACCCTATGTGCAAGGTGTGACTTACCCCTGCTGAATGCAGCCTGGTATGGTGGCCTTCCAGGGCTCAATTAGTCTTCTGATTTGGCTGCTGGCTGCTGAACAGCAAATAGAGTGGGATTATTGAAGACCTGGCAGGACACCTGCTGTGTTTAGCTTGTGGTTCCAGCCTGGGTTTTGCGTACAAGAGAGTTTCTTGATCTGGTTTAGGGAATGTAAGGACAGAAGGGGGGGGGGAGTAGTTACCTTGGATTAATTTAACACAGATTGCAAGGCCTGTGATCTTATGCATGTGACACAGAAATATTCTAAATTTTAATTTATAGGCCCCTCAGTTAAAAGGGCAGAAATTAGCATTATTGCTATACCTATTTAACACTTAGCACTAAATAATATAAATTAGAACTAATAAGAGGTCCCATTTATATCCAATTAAACAGCATCAAAACATAGCAAATGTGCACAGCTTAACCCTGGTGTCTGAATACAGGTATTAATCATTAATAATGTGAATATTAGTGAGCATTTATAGAGCATGTTTCAAGTATTCGGAGTGCTTTACTGCATTCTATCAATGACAGACTAGGCACAGTGATAGCAGTGTTCCCTCTAAGCTGAGTTAGTGTGCGCTAGCTCACAGTTTTTTAGCCTTTAGCTCACAGATTTTTGTCTTAGCTCAGGAAGGATGGCTCCAGAGAAATGTAATTTATGCAGTAGCCAAATAGTTCGCTCACAATTTTAATGCCAGTAGCTCATGAATTAGAATTTTTGCTCACAAGACTCCACAGCTTAGAGGGAACATTGAGTGATAGTAATCCTGTGGGTCAGAATTGGGCTGGGCCCATCCATCATCTGTAGGGTTGCCAACCTCCAGGTGGTGGCCGGAGATCTCCTGAGATTACAGAGATCAGTTCACCTGGGAAAAGCGGCCTCTTTGGAAGGTGGGCTCCATGGCATAATGCCCATATAAGTCCCTCCCCTCTCCAAAGCCTGCCATCCTCAGGCTCCACCCCCCAAATCTCCAGGTATTTCCCAGCCTGGAGCTGGCAACCCTAATTGGCTGACTATGCCTGCCTAATTCCTTTTATATCTATTTTTCCCTGGATGGGTCTTCTAAACTTTCTAACAGGTTTTTGTTTGTTTGTTTGTTTTTGCGGGAGCAGGCAGGTAGAAGAATTTTGCACCTTCCCCATCTGTGTTAGGGTTGCCACTTCCAGCTGGGCCCTGGAGATCCCCGGGAGTAACAGCTCATCTCCAGACTGGAGAGATCAGATCCCTGGAGGAAATGGCTGCTTTGCCAAGTGGACTGTGTGGAATCACGTCCCTACAGTGGTCCCTCCCTTCCCACCCCCACCCCATCCCAAATCTCCAGGAATTTCCCAACCTGGAGTTGAAAACCCTCTGAGTCATGTTACATTTTAAGCCCCACCCCTGCCAAAATTCACAGCCCTGTATTGTAGGGATCCAGTTGACTGGGGTCGGGTTGCATAGAGGTTTCAGCCTTACTGGTTCTTGTACTGGCCCTGTAAGGTTAACTGGGACCTGAAGGAACACTTGCTGTCATAGGAGCTTGTCAGTTAATTTTTTCCTTGCAGGGCGTGTTTTGTGTACCCCCTCCACACCTTTGGAAGTAGAATGGGTATCAGAGTTGGGGCCTTCTCTGTAACAGCCTCTCATTAATTAAAGCTTTTTCTTTGGTGCCCTTTCTTTTCATTTTCAGATTAAAACATTTTAATACCAGGAATCTGCTGGCCAATAAGCTATTTTTATGCCTCTTCCTCCTCCTTGATTTTGGTATTCCTGCAGCTGTTTCTCAGTGGAATGTGATTTGCTGGGAACAATTTGTTTTAATGATGTCTCTCATTTTGCTTTTAATTTCTGTTTTATTGTTTTTTAAAATTATGGAAAATACCTTGGGAACCTGAGTGCTTTCCAGAAGCATAAAGTAAAGGTTTCCCTTGCTTGAAAACTAGTCAAATCTGACTCTAGGGGGCGGTGCTTATCTCCGTTTCCAAGCTGAAGAGCCAGCGCTGTTCGAAGACACTTCCGTGGTCATGTGGCCGGCATGACTAAACACCAAGGCTCACGGAACACTGTTACCTTCCCACCAAAGCGGTACCTATTTATCTACTTGCAGTTTCTTGCTTTTGAACTGCTAGGTTGGCAGGAGCTGGGGCCAGAGACGGGAGCTCACTCCGTCATGTGGCACTCGGTCTGCAGCTCAGCATCTTAACCACCGCGGCCAGAAGCATAGCAAGGGTCAAATTGCCAACATGGCACAGGTCATCTATGATTGTACAGATAACATGATTAAGATTCTCAGGTGGGATTGCCAACCTTGAGGTGGGTCCTGGAGATCTTCCAGAATTACAACTGATCAGTTCAGTTCAGTTCGATTTATTGCATATGGCCAATGGCCGTTACAAGTACAGTACAATACAAAAGAGTTATAAAAGGCAGAATAGGATCTGCGTTAAAACACAGAGAGTAAAAGTATATATGTCTCACATAAAACTGGTTAAAATAATACGAGATAAAAATTAGAACATATAGAATAAAAACAGGGTTTGGGGTAAGGTTACTAAAGGTAAAGGTTCCCTTGCTCGAAAGCCAATCGAGTCCGACTCTAGGGTTGCGGTGCTCATCTCCGTTTCAAAGCCGAAGAGCCAGCGCTGTCCGAAGACGTTTCCGTGGTCATGTGGCCAGCATGACTAAACACCAAGGTGCACGGAACACTGTTACCTTCCCACCGTACAAAAACTCTTGCTCCACCTCTGCAAGTAAAGCTATAACTTTCCCAGATGTAGAGCAGAGGCTCAATTTATCTACGACTGTGCCAAGAAACTTCATTTTTGGGGATGAATAGAGTGGACAATCCAGCAGGTAATGACACAGATCTTCAGGGACTGAGCCGCCAGATATGCAAAGGTGCTCAGTCTCTGGTGTTTTGGTGTATTGGCCTTCAAACACTGCTGTTTGCATAGTTTGTAAATGGAGGGCTGTAAGGCTGAACGCAAGTTAAAGAAAGAGATTTTAGTCAGAATGTGCCCTGCGATTATCCACTTTAATCACTTTATACCAGGGAGATGATTTATTTCTTTGTGTAACTTCTCTGTCTAGACCAGCATCATGTATGTATATTTGCACCTTACCATCAAAATCGGCCTGAATGGTTCCACGAACAATGTCCAGCAGATTATATATCTGTAGGACTGTGTTATACTTAGATTGCCAATTAGGGTCATTCAAATTTTCAGAAAAACAGAGACTGGCAAGATTATCTGCTGGAGCCCTTTTCAATCTGTGCCAATAGTTTTTTTAAAAAAAATTATGAGTACGAGCCCGAAGGGAGGGAAGACCCACTTCAGCCCTCAACAGCGCAGCTGGAGTGTTTCGGGGAAGTGCTAACAGCCTTTTTAGAAAAAGATTTTGAACTCTCTCCAAATTTGTGATCAATCATTCCATCCCCAAACCTCGACACCATATAAAAGTTGGGTAATTAACTTACTCTGGAAAAGCTTTAGGGCTGGTTCTATCCGATCTCCCCCTTTAGTATGGTAGAATTTAAGGATTGCCCCCATAACCCGAAGTGCTGTTTATTTTATAATATCAGTATGTTCCTTCCAGGAAAGTGTGTCACAGAATGTAATACCCAGATATTTAAAGGTTTGGCTTTGGTTTATCGGAAACCCATCCACTGTCCATGTAAAAATGCGCCGCCGCTTCCCAAAGACCATCACCTTGGTCTTTGAGTAGTTAATTTGTAGGTGTTCCTCCTTACAGAAGGCGCTAAGCCTAGCCAGCGACCTTCTCAAGGCAGTACAAGTTATGGACAACAGGGCCATGTCATCAGCGTAAAGAAGAACTGAGATCTTTCTTGGCCCAAGCCTCACAATGATGTCATTAATATAAAGATTGAATAGGAGAGGAGCAAGGGCACAGCCCTGCTATTCACGCCTCTAGCCACGGGAATGCTGTCGGTCAGGGATCCTGTAATACCCACTCTTATTTTAGATGAGGTGTTGGTATATAATTCCCTGATCGAGTACAAGAGACGCTTGTCGATATTGGTATTTGCCAGCTTAGCCCAGAGCCTGTCTATTGAATCAAAAGCGGCTGCAAGGTCCACAAAGGCCACATAAAGATGCTTTGTAGAACCCTTTACGCTGTTAATGGCCAAATGATACAGTGTCTGACAGGGATTGATGGTACTTTGGCCCTTCCGAAAGCCAGCTTGTTCTGGAAAAATAACCTGATTGTCAGCTTCCGAGTCCTCTAGTTTTCTCAATAGAAATTTGCTGTAAAGTTTTGAGGCAACTGATTACAACTGATCTTCAGACAACACAGATCAGTTCCCGTGGAGAAAATGGCTGCCTTGGAGGGTGAACTCTGTGGCATTATACCTCTCTGATGTCCCTCCCCTCCCCAAACCCTGCCATCCCCTGGCTCCACCCTAGATTTGCCAGGGGATGGGGGGGGCAGGGTTGCCAAATCAAGGTTGAGAAACTCCTGGAGATTTGGGGATAGAGCCTGGGGAGGACAGGGACCTCAGTGGGGTACAATGCCATAGAGTCTACTCTACAAAGCAGCCTTCTGCAGGGGGACTGGTCTCTGTAGTCTGGAGATGAGCTGTAATTCCTGGGGATCCCCAGGTCCCACCTGGAGGTTGGCATCCCTACTTTGCCCAAGCAAGCGCTCTGTAAAGGTAAAGGTTCCCTTGCTTGAAAGCCAGTTGAGTCCGACTCTAGGGTTGCGGTGCTCATCTCCGTTTCAAAGCCAAAGAGCCAGCGCTGTCCGAAGCCTTTTCCGTGGTCATATGGTCGGCATGACTAAACACCAAGGCGCACGGAACGCTGTTACCTTCCCATTAAAATTGAAATGATACAGAGAAGACTAGCATTATCCCTACTCTGACCCCTGAATCTCCAGGAACTTCCCAACCTTGACTTGGCAGCCCTATTGCCAATCCCCAGGTAGGGCATTACAACCGATTTCCAGATTACAGAGTTCTGTTCTCCTGGGGGAAATGGTTGCTATGAAGGGTGGACCACCCCTGGTTTCACCCCTAAATCTCCAGGAATTTTCCAACTCCAATTTGGCAACCCCACCAACACCACAAAGATAGGCAGGGTTGTCTCCCACCATTACTCCCTGTGCAGCTGTGGTCCTCTTTCTGTTGTTCGGAATGCTTTGAATTTTCCATCTTGTTTCTTTTCAATAGGGTGCCAAAGGAGAACCAGGCCTTCCAGGTCCAGATGGCCCTCCAGGAAAACCTGGCATTGATGTGAGTAACAAACACCCTTAGGTGTCTCCCCCCCCCCCACTCTCCAGATGTAGTGGTTTGTATATCTTGTTGCACTCTGTTTTCATCCTGCTTTCCTGGACTCCCTTTCTTGCTCTGAGGCCTGATTCTCACAACCAGTTTTGGTACCTTCACTTCATCAGCTGCCTCCAATGGGCACATCTTGACCAACTGCTCTGTACTGTACCACTTTAGTAGGGATGCTATATCAGGAGACCTCCCAGCATCCTTGCTCTTTGCCCACTGATGCCTTGGCAGGAGGGAATGGGGCATGCACCAGTGTCACACTGGCATGCCGACCCCACTTCCAGTAAAACCCAGAAATGACATAGTAGACACTCTAGCATTTCCTCTATAGAAAAAACATTGAGATTTTGTAAATGCCAGAACATCTAGAGATGCCACTTCCAGTTTTTAATAGAAGTTACACCAGTGTACTGGTGCAATGCTGGTGGGCCAGGGCCTGTCCTCAAATATCTCCTGAGGGTTGCCAGCTGCGTCCTCCTGACAACCCTACACATCAGACTGGTCTGTGTGTTCGTTCATTGTGCATGTGACTGAAGACAACCAGGTTGTATGTATAAGCCCTGTTCATGAGTTACAGTGAATACATGCACAATTTGTATACACTGTACACTTGGTTTTTCTTTATACATGCACTGAGTAATTTTTGTGTTATGTTAAGTTTATGTACAGCTCAACATGTGATTAAAACCCCACATTTTATCCAGGCACTTGTATCCCGATTCATTTGTAAAGTGAATGCATGTTGGTTCTTCTGGCACAGCTGTTCTTGAAAAAGAAGAGTTTCTGTCAGAGCTCTCTCAGCCCCACCTACCTCACAGGGTGTCTGTTGTGGGGAGGGGAAGGGAAAGGAGTTTGTAAGCTGCTCTGAGACGCCAATCTCCTCCTCCTCCTCCATTCTTAGAAACAGATGTACACATGTACAGGCAGGGTTTACATGCATTCACTGTAACGTGATCAGAGCTATAATCTTCAGAGAAAGGGGGAATGAGGTGATCCAGGCTGTAGGCTTAGAACAGCTTGGCTGGGCTGGAGACCCGTTCAAACCTGAGAACGGTCAGATTCTGCTTTAAGAAGCAGGAAGAGTTAATAGGATTTTTGTCCTACTGTGACAGAAAAACATTTTGCCTACAGAATCCCAATTTGCAGGTTCTTCTCACCTCGTGGCTAGAAAAAGGCAGTGTATCAAACCAGATGTCACAGTAGTGATCCTCCAAAACATTGCCTGAAGGATTGGAAAATGTCCCATGGGATTCCACGCTCCCTCTTTCCCTCTCTTGTGCCAATTTTCTATTTAGACGAGATGTCCAAATTGGACATACAAGGCATTGGTTTGGATCCTATGAACGAGCTGTGTGCATGCTAGATCGGTGCGGCGGAGCACATTTATTCACCCACTAAAACTTCCTTTGCACAGGATCGATGATTTCCAGTTGGCCATGGTGCAAATTGAAGTTTTAGCAGCAGAAGAAGCATGCTCTGCAGCAGAGGCTATCTGTGTGCCTTTCTTTTCACACACATAAGTTTCCAAGGATGTGCAAAAACGACTGTCTCCCAATCCCAGTTAGAGATTTAACCTCTAGAGCAGGGGTCCCCCAATAGGATTGCCAGGTCTTACTGGGCTTCCAGGGGTGGGGGCCTCCCAAGCCCATCCCTGGATCACCCAAGAGTGATGTCATCACGCTGGGCATGTCACACAGTGACGCTCTAGCATTTTGGGCAAAACGCTAGAGCATCACCACGTGCTAGCAACATTGGGAGGGGGCTGTTTGTGGGTGGGGCCTCTCCCACTGGCCAGCTAGCTGGCGGCGGATTGGAGCCCCTGGAATCGGGGGAACTCCTGCCTGAACCAGGGGTCTGGCAACCCTAGCCCCCAACCTTTTTTGAGCCCGTGGACACGTTTTGAATTCTGGCATAGGGCAATGGGGGCAATTACAAGATGCAGGGGATAAATGGGGTAAATTTTAAAAATACACTGGGAAAGAAGAGTCAGAGAGAGAGGCAGGAAAACCAATGCTGTTGTGGTGGCTGTTGATTAAAATAACATTTCAGCTTTACAGCCAGTCAGATTGCCAATGGGCAATCAGAAGCCCTGCTGGGTAGGAGTCCACCTGGCCCCACTGGCTTCCTTCTTCTTCTTCTTTAAATATGTTTTATTCAACTTTTATAATAACATGCAACATCAACAGTATGCAGAAACTATCAAAATAGAACAATATACAATAAGATGAATGAGTCTTAACAGTCACCGTTATGCTGGAAAAACTGTGGAGAGGTGGGAGATTATACGCACTGCTGGTGGCACTGTCCCCACATACAATGCTTTTGGGATCAGGTAGTCTCTGAAACGACAAAAAACCCCAACAGGACAGAACTTTCTGATGTCACCTAAAGGAGGGCTTCTAGTGTCCTGGCCTCCTGATGGCACTGGTATTCCTGGCCACTGTGTGTGGACTGGATGGACCTTTGGCCTGATCCAACATTGGCGTCTCTTATGTTCTTAAAGTCATCCTATTACATCTCAGAGAACCCGATAAAGACAAAGAACCACTACACCAACTAACATTGTACTTACTTAGCAGCCCCACTGACTTTCTGAGAACCCTTGGCAGGCTCCAGGAAAGCTGGAGGCGGGTGCCATGGCATCCCTGGGCACCATAGTGGGGATCCCTGTGCTAGAGAGAGAGAGAGAAGCAGAGGGCCAAAACTTGAAGAATGGCAATTCTAGCCATTCAAGTGATCAGTGCATTTTTAAAGACAAATTAGAGAGAGGTATCTGAACAGTGGTTAAAAAGAATACCTGGTAAATAATAATCATTGGCATGCATTAAGCACAATGATTGTCAGTTGTAAAACATGATTTTTTAAAAATTTTGCAATGAAAGTCCCCTCAGTCACACACACACACACAATTTCTCCATTTTTAGTATGCGATGCTAGATTTCCTAAAGAATTCCTTTTTTTACCTGGAGTTTCCTTGCTATTTATTTCCCAGATTTCCACAGCTTTAGTAGAGTTCATTAATTTGAGCTCCCAGCTCTGTTCCCCCCCCCCCCCATTGCCTGATTCCTCTGACAAATGCCGGATGACATCCCTCATGTGGACTGCTTGGTAGTAACTGACTCTTCTCTTTGTTTACAGGGCCTGACAGGAGCAAAAGGGGAACCGGGCCTTGCTGGGAGACCTGGCCCTAAAGTAAGTCACGGCTTATCTGCAGAACCTGGGAGACCCTGGAGCCACTTGATGCTGAATTGTCATTGTAATATCAGCACAGTGCTGTCTTTGAAGTGAGGGATACAAACCCTCAATTTTATATGGAATGCTCAGGGCAGATTGATGTGTGGCTATCTAGTCTCCCTTATAAATAAAAGCCGAATGGTGGTGGCACTTCTCTAGAACATTCCACACGCTCCGGAATTGGTTGGTGCCCTGGTGTGTCACTCACAGGCTGTCTCTCTTCATTCGCTGTGCTGCTGCCTGTGTGGGTGTCCTCCTGCCCACGGAGGCAGCGACCATCCTTTTGCCCTCAGTTTCCTTCGAGCCGCGGCCCGGGCCGGGTGCCCCACTGGCCAGACACCCTCACTCGGCCTGCAGGCCCCAGATGGGGCCATGCCACTGCTGCTGAGCCGCGGCAGCCAGGAGCCACTATCAGCCAAGAGGAGGCCCAGGCCGACATGCGCTGGCTCTGCCCAGCCCCTGGAAAGGCACTGGGGGGGCCACGCGGGGGCCGCGCGCCCATTGCGGGGAGAGGGGCGAGCCTGGCCGGCTTCCCCTGCCGGCACCTCGATCGGGTGGGGATGCCGGGGGGACAGACGAGGCCAGGCGGCTTGGCCTGCCAGAGCCTTGACTACACAGCAGGAGAGCAGAGGACAGGGGGCTGCGGAAGGAGATGCGGGCCTGCAGCCACCTGCCCAAGCTGCTGCCCATTGCAGGGAGACGGACGAGCCTGGTCCGCTTGCCCCGATGGGGCCTCGCTCGGCCGGGGATGGTGGCGGGAGAGGCCTACCTAGGCGCCTTACCCGCCGGGGCCTTGACCCCGCGGGAGGGGAGTGCGGGCTGCTTCCCCGGGTTGGGGAGACTGGGAAGTGGATGGCACCCTGTGCCCAGCTCGCACCCATTGTGGGGAGAGGGCGACTCTGGCCGGCTTCTCCCGTCGGCACCTCGATCGGGCAGGGGTGCTGGGGGGACAGACGAGGCCAGGCAGCCTCACCCGCTGGAGCCTCGACTGTGCAGCAGGAGGGCAGAGGAGAGAGGGCTGGGGCCGCAGCCACCCACTGCAGGGAGACGGATGAGCCTGGTCCGCTTGCCCCGCTGGGGCCTCGCTTGGCCAGGGGTGGTGGCGGGAGCGACCAACCCAGGCACCTTACCCGCTGGGGCCTCGACCCTGCGAGGGGGAGTGCAAGCTGCTTCCCTGAGTTGGGGGGGCGGGAAGTGGACAGCGCTCTGTGCCCGGCCGGGTTCGTGCCCATTGCGGGGAGAGGGGCGAGTCTGGCCGGCTTCCCTGGCCGGCGCCTGGAGTGGGCGGGGGTGGGGGGTGGAGCGGCGAGGCCAGGCGCCTTGGCCCGCCGGAGCCTCAACCGTGCGGGGCAGAGCGGCCAGCTTTGTCCTGGGGAGGCCAGATGGAGACGGCGACCCGCATCCGCGGCCAGGCTAGCGCCCTGTTGTCTTCAGGTCCACAATGGTCATTCTTCCTAGTAACTTATAATGTCTGGTCAGGAAAGCCCAAATCCCAGGGCCCTGGCACTGTTAGGGCCAAACTAAACATGATGGAGAGACTGCAGTGGCTCATAGGGTAAGATGCTGTGCTGCAGACTGGATGGTCTGTAGTTTGGCAGTTCGAGACCCTAGTGTCGCATGACAGAGTGAGCTTCCGTCTCCGGCCCCAGCACTTGCCAACCTAGCAGATCGAAAGTGAGAAATTGCAAGTAGATAAATAGGTACCACTTTGGTGGGAAGGTAGCAGCGTTCCGTGTACCTCAGCGTTTAGTCATGCCGGCCACATGACCACAGAAGCGTCTTCGGACAGCGCTGGCTCTTCGGCTTGGAAACGGAGATGAGCACTGCCCCCTAGAGTCAGATTCAACTGGCTTCGAGCAAGGGAAACCTTTATCTTTACCTTTAAACATGATGGAGTCCTTGTGGCCACAACGAGGACTGCCACCATTTAAAAGACATTTTTAAATGCTGCGAGGGCCCAATTCTGATCTGGCCTACAGCACAGAGTTCCCCCCCCTACGCTTTTTTAAGTGCTAAAAATGTACGGGGGAGGGAGAACAAGGGTACCACACTGCAGGCCCAATCAGGATTGAACCTTTGTGGCATTTAAAAATGTCTTTAAAATGGTATTGCCTTCCTCATGGCAGCCACAAGTTCACTGTCACGTTTAGTTTGGCTCTTAGTGACTTAAATACGAGCCTAGATCTTGGCACCCAGACTGAGGATGGAATCAGATTTCTCCCTTGTCTGTGTTTGCTGTTGGTATTAGTCTAACCCTCTCTTCTAAGTTTGAAGAAAACCTTCTGAACACCCAGTATTAGACCTTGTCACTGCTCAAGTGGGTGCCACCACTCTGGTTCCAGGTTCCTCGGAGAAGGCCCAGAGCACCCTCCCAGGCCTTTAGACCTCCCTTTTAGCTGAAATGAGCGAGAGGACCAGGCAGAGTGAACAATGAAAATGATTTATTTTATAGGAGGTCAAACAAACAAGATGCAGGAATAATAACAGTAAGTGGGTGAAAACAAAAGAAGTCAAATGCCCTAATGTGTCTAAATATACTGTGCCTAGCACACTATCTCAAGTGGCTTTAGACTACTACTCACCCTTCCCTTAGGATGAGGGTTTCTTCCCCACAGCAGTCTTCCTTCTGGTCCTGTTCCCTGGGAAGAAGAACAGCTTCTCCTCTTGCACCAGTTCTTTTATTCCCCAGCCCTCTTTTTTCCTATTGGCCAAAATCGGCACCAAAACTTCCCAAGGCCTTCTGGGGTTTATAGGCCCAGCCTCCCCTACTGCTAACCAGGCTCCCTAGGCCTACTAGGCCTCCAGTGGCACAGCCCAGATCATGACACACACCCCACCAGACTAAATCATGGGGTCCATCTCTGGATCCCCATTGATGCGGTCTGCACACGGGATTTGGGCTGTGCTTTGCCCTCTTTTAACTCACTCAACATTAACATATAAAAACAGTAATATTAACAAATTAACCACAAGTGAGATAGAAAATATGCACAGTAAGGTGGCTAATCATCACAAGCTCTGATAAGTTTGGCTGTTGGGAGCCCGTTCCACCACCCTGGTCTTCTTTGCCACCAAAGTTTCCACGATTTCTCAGTAGCAACTTGCATTTCTCGGAGAGGGCTTTTTTTCACTTCACAGTTATGTCCATCCACTTTATGTAGTCGAGCTGCCATGGCAGCATCTGCCTCCCCCACACAAGAATAGGTTACAAAAGCAAACCCATGGGAACGTTTTGTGTGTGGGTTCCTAATTACCACACAGTCAATGAGTGTGCCCCATGTTTCAAAGTGTTCCCTTAAACTAGTATTGGTAGTTTCAGAGCTTAGGCCACCAACAAACACCTTCCTCAACTGTTCGGGTCCCTTAGGATTATGGCTCTGGGAAGATCTTCTCTTCTTGTCTTCACATGCCATTTTGGGGAAGTGTTCCGACTCAGCTGCTGCGCCAAACAGCCAAGTGTTCCGACTCAGCTGCTGCTCTCAACAGCCTGCCTGCCTCTCCTTCCGTGCAGTGGTGACCATTATCTCTATTTTGTCCTTCCTGCCATCAAAGTACATGTTCTGCCAAATCTTCCCCTACAAACATAGCCACAGGGGTGTGTTCATATACAGCAACCTTCCACTGTCTGCTCCACACCTCATATTGGGTAGGTATCCTGGCCACTGGGAGGGCAATCCCTTTGGCATCCTGCAGGTGCCGCACCCATCTTTCTTCACCTGGGATGAGATACTTAGGATCCACAAGAGAGTGGTGGACGGTGGTCAACAGGGAGCCGGTGTCTCACCAGGCTGCAACACCACGCCCGTCTACAGTGACTTCCTTATAGAAATGCATTCTGAGTTGAACTCAGGAGGAGTGGGGGTGGGGGCCCACTGGAATCATATGATATGAGGAGGTACTTGCCTTAGGGCACTGCCTTTCAAGGTGTCCCAACTTCTTGCAGGCATAACATCGGGGTGCCTTCCGATCTCCCATCGGCAACTGCACACCAGCACTTGGTGAATCAGGATGCTGTTCCTGGGATGGCTGTCCTTTTACTTCCGGCTGCTTTCTGTGCTGGGTGGGGACTTGGGAAACTCCCTCTTATGCCAGTCCCGATTAGTGCAGTACCTCTGCCCTCCATAGGCTTCAGCCAGTCACTCCGCCCACTGTCCTGCTTCTCGAAGGGTAGAAGGGCTCTTGTCCACCAGGGGGCACCTAATATACTCAGGAAGAAGAGTCAGTAACCGGTCAATGCACATCAGGGCCTTGACATCAGCCCGGGTCTTGGCATCAGCGACCTCCACCCACAAGTCATAGGCTTTTCCCAGTCTGTGTATTAACTGTGGGTAGGACCCTTTCCCTTCAAGTCCAATCTCTCTGAAACGCTTTTGGGGCCCTTCCTTGGTGAACCCCAACTTCTCGCGCACTCTTTGCTTAACCAGCTTGTAGTCTGTTCTCTCTCCACCCTCCATCTGCCCAGACACTGAAGCAAGGACACCACTCAACCAATGTTCCCTCTAAGCTATGGAGTCTTGTGAGCAAAAATTCTACTTTGTGAGCTCCTGGCATTAAAGTTGTGAGCGAGTGATTCGGCTGCTGCGTAAATTAGTTTGCTCTGGAGCCATCCTTCCTGAGCTAAGAGAAAAATCTGTGAGCTGGAGGCTAAAAAACTGTGAGCTAGCTCACACTAACTCAGCTTAGAGGGAACACTGCACTCAACTGCGGTCTCAGCTTTTCAGTGTACAGCTCTGAGGGGACCTTGTAGTCGATGCAGACTTGTTCAAAATTCTGCAGGAAGGCCTCAATGTCTTCCCCTTCCTTGAACCAGGGGTACTTCCTATGGTCTTCTTTCACCGTGGCATCTGTAGGAGGTTGGCCCTTTTCTAGCTTAGCCATCTCAAGCTCATGCGCCAGCCTCATTGTCTCTTGCTCGAGTTCCATCCTAGTTGCAGTCTCCTGTCTCTCTTTCTGCAGCCTTGCTTTCTCTAACTCAAGGTCTGCCTGTTTAAATTGCAACTGGAGATGTAAGGTCTCTTCACTCAGGGATGCCATTGCTTTCTCTGATGTGTCCTCCACCAACATGAGGCCTGCAGCCCTCCTTTGGGTCTTGCGTCTAGCAAGAGGCGTGTCCTCTGATTTCCCCCCCCCAGATCAGAGGAACATACACTACCTAACTCTAGCCTCACTATCCAGTCGACCCGACAGCTAGAACATAAAAACCTTTTCAAAACACCCTTACTTGGTGTTGCAAGCACCTTCAGTGGCAATAGTAAAATTAACTGGTAGCAGGGCTATTTTTGGCAGGAACACACAGGGACGGAGTTCCGGCTGGCTCCCAAGTTGGCCACGCCCAGCAGGAACTCATTACCATAATAGGCCACACCCAACAGCAGAAACTCATTCGGATTGGCTACAATTAGGGGGGTGTGGCCTAACATGCAACAAAGGTAAAGAGAATAAGAAGCAAAAGGTGGGTGTGGCTGGATGACCACACTTCTGGTAACATGGGGGTGTGGCCTAATAGGCAAATGAGCTGTGCTGTCAGGGGTGTGGCCTAATATGCTAATGAGTTCCTGCTGTTGGGTATGGCCTACTATGTTAATGAGTTCCTGCTGGGCTTTTTCTACAAAAAAAGCCCTGTCTGGTAGCATATGCAGAAGAAGGCAGGGAGAGAGAGGAAGTTGTTTTTCACAGGGTTTCCCAATTGCTGCTGCAGTTGCTCATACAGTGCAGTGGGGAAAGCAGATTCCATGTGGCAGATTTCCCCACAGTTTCCTCATCTCCAATCTCCAGGCAGTGGCCATCCCCTCATAGCACAGGGACTTATTTAGTTTTTGGGTTTTTTTTTTTTAAATTAGCAGTTAAATAATTTCCAACCCAGAGTTGCTGCCCTAATAATGAATCACTCTTTTTTTTTGACACAGGGCCAGCCTGGACTTGTAGGTCCTCCGGGGCTCCCAGTAAGTATCTTTCCGTTATTATACCTGCCTGTTCAGAAAGGGCACCGTTGAGGTTGTGTCCCACTTCACCTTAGTTGAATGGTCAGCCTGCCATGGCCAGGAATCGATTCTCCCCAGGAGGAACCTGTTTTTCCTCTTTGAAACAAAAGCTCTTCTGTACAGTGTCTATTGGCTGGGATCAAGTGATGTCATCAACCTGTTCCCTTCCCGTCTTCCTCGGAGCAGCTTTCCAACATTTTAAACCATCGTTTTAAAGACCAGGAACAGAAAAGAGTAGGGGTATAAAAGTTCGTTTTGTAATGTGCCCACAGGGCTTTAAAGACACAGAAAATAAAGGAAGGGGGCCTGTTGAAGGTGGGGGGTGGTCAGGACAAACTAATTAATCAGTCTTTGGTTTGCTGGCTGGGATAGTGAAGACTGGAGGGAAGGTAGGATTGTGCTGTGGGAAGGGAAGAAAAAGCACCGTGGCTCCTGCTTTGTACCTGTACAGGTATGTAAAATTTAGGACTGCAGTCCTCAAAACTTATTTGGATATAAAGAATTTTGGCATTTCTCCCCTTCACTGTGCTGTTATGCAATGAACTGGGGAGGGTAAAGAAGGCACTTATGGAGATGGTAATGGCAGTAGATGTACTGTAGTGGCTGCATGGGGAATCGTGATGTTGTAAAGACTGGGTATTGTTGGAAATAGGGTTACTGACCTCAAGGGTGAGGCCTGGGGTTGACCAAGAATTACAGTTAATCTCCAGACTTCAGACATTGGTTCCCCTGGAAGAAATGGCAGGTTCGGAGCAAAGACTCTATGGTATATCATCAAGTGTAGGCGAAATGGATGTCCTAGAATTGCTACAGAGGGTGGATGCTCTAGGACTTCCATTTTGCCGATAGTGTACCGTATGGGCTACATGCTATACCATAGAGACTAGGAGAAACTGATTGTGACCTTAAAGACACTAAAGACCAGAGACTTAGTGGGGATTGAGAAAGGAACAGTACTGCTTGTTGGTGGGCCTCCTCCTATGGGTCTTCAGGGTGAATTTTTTACTTACACTAAGGAAAGCCTGAAGACAATTTTGAGAAGTTTTTTTGTTTTTGTTTAAGTTGACCTATAAGAGGTAGGGAATTTAAATTTAAAATTTGAATTTTGTTGGAAGGAAGTGACCTCACAAGAAGAGGAGGAGTCGGAGAGCTGACCTTTTGACCCGGATGTGACAGCACAGCATATCGCATCTGCACTGAGCTCCCTCCCCTCCCTAAACTCTGCCCTGCCCTGCCCAGGCACTATTCCCAAATCTTCAGGAGTTTCCCAAGCCAGAGTTGGCAACCGTAGTTGGAACAGCAGTGATGCTTATTAATAAGATACAACCAGAGTTGTTTCCATGCAGAGCTTTTGCCCCACCTTGGCTTTCTTCCAGCATTGTTGTTTTCCAAAACATCTGTATTAGCAAGTTGTGTGAAGAGTTATAACTTTATAACTCTGCAACAAAAATGGCTAGAGTGTTAACTTTAAAAAAAAATGAAATTTGGGAACTAGTACACTGCTGCAATACAATGTTATACTAGGCGTGTTTACAAGTTACAGTGAACGCACATTTAATCTGTGTACGGTGTGAACGTGATCGTACTTTATATGAGCACTGAGTAATTCTCACATTACAGGCAATGAATGTACAGCTGATTATGTGATTGAAACCCTATATTTCTTACAAACATATGTACTTCGCACATACATGCAGGTTGTACATGCGTTCACTGTAATGTGTGAACAGGGCTTTGCCATTATAATTCTATAGCAATCTAGCAATTCCCAATTTTTATTTTTTTTTAAGTGCTGTGGTGGTGGAGGAGGAAAAGATGGTCCTGAGGCACTAAGGCAAGGAAAGTATGTGGGAAACTGATGTGTGGATTCTCAATTGCTATTTTGAAGGCCATTGCCTTCGCCACAGCAGAGAGAAGTGCATGCAAACTGTCCATTTTGGGGAAAGGAAACAATGAATATCAGAGCTTCCCTGAGATTTCTGTGCCTGCCTTTGCTTTCTCAGTTTTTGTTTTTTTAATCAAAGTCAAGTCAAGTCAGCCTTTATTGGCATAAAATATCAGTAATTATAATCCATTGAAACTTTCTTCTCCTTTCAGGGTCCCAGCCTGGCTGGATCTCCCGTAAGTGTCCTTCAAGCTAGGATGGGGGCTACAGTGGAAGGCAGTGTGCTTGATTTGTGACGTGAGGATGTGTGTGTGTGTTCTGCCAACTGTTGAGCAGGGCAGAAACGGTCTGGGAAAAGGGCTCTGTGATCTGTGGGGTTGCAGCAACAGCCTGGAGCAAGGCTGTTCATAAGTCTTGCCAATTGTTCAGCAATGCCCGTTTCTGAACCAAATTTGTCTGTCTTGCCTGGCAGCCAAAATTAGAAAACACGAAGCCAGAAGAAATTCTAGATCAGTGCACTTTGTGCTCTCCTAGTGTATGCGCTAAAGTGTTGTGTGGAGGAACAGCTACGTTTTTACTTATATTCACCATTCACTCAAGGGGGGGGGGGCTCTGAAAATGAAATCAGCATTGTGCTGAGCGTATCACAACGTGTTTTCCTTTCATTTACAATGTGAATATGTATTGTTTCTGTTTCTTTTTCTAAGGGACCTCCTGGCCCAGTTGGGCTCCCTGGAGAGATTGGAGCACTGGGGCCCAAGGTGAGAGATCCATCAGATGTGGGAATAGTCCATGGGTTGTCCCGGTTTGCGGACTTTCGTTCTGGCTGTGAATCACATATGAAAAGTGGAAAAGAAAAAAACCCTGGTGGAGCTGAATATGGATCTTAGGTCACCTTTCCCCCATTCCCCACAGTGGCAACAGAAGGAGTGCCCACATGGAGATAGAAGTGTCTCTTTGAGCTGAATCAAATCCAGTTTATTTTTAATCCAGGTTAAAGGGGAAAGCTCTGAGGTTTGCTCAGAACCCTGTCTTGTGATTGTTCCCCTATGTGTGTTTTGTCCTGTATGTGTGTTTTGTGCTCTCAAGTCACTTCTGACATAGCAATCCTATGAATTAATTACCTCCAAAATGTCATATCATTAACAGCCTTGCTCAGGTATTGCAAATTGAAGGCTTTCTTTATAAAAGAGTTGTTCCCCAATAGTGTAGTATAGATCCCCATGAGGAAACAGCCTAAGGCTGCCTCAAAAGTTTCAGAATCCGCTATAGTCAGAGAGATAGGCTTGCTTCTTTACTGATCTGTTTAATGTACAAATGGGGTCAGATTAGGAATTCCAGGTCTTTTTTCTCCATGGCTAGAAGCTGTCGGCTCTCTTTCCTGGCAACATACATGAAGAAACTGTGTCTTCTGGGTTGTCTCTCAGACACTTCACTGCTAACTGTCGAAAGACTTTTGTAGACAGATGTGTTTGCTGTTTTTCAGGGGGAACGTGGTCCGGATGGGCCCCAAGGGCCTCCAGGGCCCCCTGGGAAACCTGTAAGTATTTTTTCCTCTGTTTCTGATCTTTAACATAGAATTGGAGGATGAACAGGTAGCAGAGTTGAGAAGAATATCATGAGGGTTCAGCTAACAAGCATAGACTAAGGAGCCCTTGAAGTGGTGTAACTGCAGTCATTTATAAGAATAAGAAATTATGGAATAATTAGAGATTTTTTCCCCTTACACTTGCTGACCCACTCCCGTGACTGTTGACTGTTCACACACGTTCTGTTTTGCGCTTTGTGCTTGTGACAAGCTTTCACGCCTTGCTTCAGCCTCTTCCTTGTCTCAAACCATTGATAGCCTACTATTTCTCATGGCATAAAACATGGTGGTTTTCACATGCGGATGGGCTTGTGTGGTTTCCCTGTTGCTGTTGCTGCAGCTGATAAAGAGCAGGAGGAAAGGGGCTTCCACATGGCAGGTTTTCATGCAGTTTCTCTGCCCTAGTCCCCCAGTAGTGGCCACTTCCCTCCTCTGACCCACTAGGTTTTTTTTTTTGCATTTTTTAAAAAAAAAAATGGTATTTGAATATTGTTATATCAATATAGTGTTGTGACAATATTCTGAATTCTCAGTTTCTGTTATTAAAAAGTACGTCTCTTGTCTCTTCCATTGTGGAGATGGCAAGGCATACCTCTGCAGTGGAAAAGGTTAGAGGCTTACATATTTGATTAATGGATGCTGAGAATTCAGAATATTATTATAACAGTATGTCAATAAAATGCTATTCTACTGCCAATTTTTTAAGCATAAAAGAAACCACTGGTGGGGGTGGGGGTGGAGAAGGCTACTGTGGGGACAGGGTCAGGGAAAATGGCTGCCATGTGGGTGGGAATATCCCTACAGCACCCATTCAGAATGCACTGTGATCTTTCCCAAAATTTCAGAACAAAGCAGGTTTTGGGGGGAAACCAGGGAAACCTTGAGAGGTGCACAAGTGCACTTGTGATGCTGCAGGGAAGCAAGAAACCCACCCCCCAGTTCCCAACAGCTTTGAACTCGGAGCAGAGAACCCATCTGGAAACTACCTAAGTTGCATATGACTGCTTGATTGTTCCTCTTTTCTTCCCAAGGGCCCTGTTGGGCACATCCAAGGAGTTGAAGGCAGTGCAGATTTCTTGGTAAGGAGACCTGCAGTTATACCTACCATGACCCCTGTTTTTGTGTCACTACCTGAGAAGGAGTAGAATACAGCTAATGCATTTGTGATTTTACAATGGATCTCACAAGCCTTTAATAACAATTAATATTCACCTGCTCTGAATCATCGGTTTGGACTTTTGGGCTGGGTGATTTATTTTGTTGGCATTTAAAAAAATTCTTAAGAATTTTATATTGTCTTAAATTATAACTCTAAGCTTCTCTGAAGATCTAAACCAGTAGGAATGAGAGTTAAATCAAAGCATTGGAAGGGTCCCTGCTGGCCATCTAGTTCAGCCCCTCCCTAATGCAGGAAATCAACCTCTGCTTGAAATACCTCCTGCAAGGGAGAGACCCACCAAATCATAATTGGCATTTACCTGGAGGGGAGAACCCTCCCTAGCTAAATTGCATGCAAGTATTTTAATTGCATAAATGAAATCAGTTGTAAAAGTTCTAATATGCAGCATATAAATTTGCAATATGCTTTGTTTTAAAGAAAATATTCTATATCTGTATTGGGCTTTTTAAAAAAGTTGTCTCCTACTAGGATTGCAAGCCTGTACCTACCTACTGGCTTGAACTTCAGGAACATAGGGAGGGGGACAGGGTGTTCTGTATGTCATGATCTGTGGGGTAGCTCTAGGAATAGTCAGAAACCATAGAGTTTCTGGTGATTCCTTGATCTATTTGATGTCACTTATGGGGTTTTTCCTGGAAGTGATATCACAGCACACATGATGCTGACTTTTTACCACTGCTTGGAGTGGTAGCAGGCAATGAGGGTGTCACGACAGGGCCAGTGGGGCAAGGCAGAGAGGGAGAGTTTACAGTCTAGTCCAAGAGTCAAGCCAGAGAGATCAAAAGAGTCCGAGCAAAAGTCCCAAGCACACAAAGCCAAGCCGTAGTCAAACGTTACCGATTGTCAGAGTCCAAACAAGCCAGTATCGTAGTCAGGAAGCGTAGCCAAGGATCAAGAGCCAGAGGGGTCGTCAGAACACGGACTGGAGTCAGGAACCGGGAAAATCAGTCAGGAGCCAAACAGAGTCAGAGGTGCAGAGCTTCTGGTCCAACGGACAAGTTTGCCAGCACAGTTTGCTAGCAGCTAGTGGTCTGTTCAAATAGCATGCTGGGTCGTTATCTCATTAGCACGGCTTCGCGAAGTCCTTGATTCTGTTAGTAAACTGGGCTTAATGATCGCCAACCGCGCCTCCTTGCACCTGGTTGCCAAATCCCGGCGTCTCTGATTCCTCAGCCGGTCAACAGGTGGCGGAGAATCGGGTGACGTGTTGCTGGGGCCAGGCGTTGCCGATCGGCTTCAAGTGCAAACTGTCCTGGGGTTTGGCGTTCATCCTCCCCGGCACTTAGGTTTGGTGAGGACTCTCGTGCTTCTGATGATGTTAAAGGCACGGAGTCCTCAGTTTCAGAGCTCGCAGGCACCGGGTCGGGTACAGGCATGACAGAGGGTTAATGGCAGGAGGCCTCCCACCAAACCAGGAGTTACCGACATGCCTGGCTCTCTCATGAACATACCTGCATGGTAAACATGTTTCCAAGTGTGAGTTTGTTCCCTTCACACCTCTCATTTTTATGTGTATACCGAAAAACTGTAATGTGTGAACCGGCTATACGATACTGATTTGGAAAAGGTCTTACTAAAATAAGGCCCTCCTTGCACTAAGCTGCTGTGTTGTACCTTGGTTGAAACAGATCTCTAATAATCTCTCCCCAACAGTGTCCAACCAACTGCCCCCCTGGACCCAAGGGACCCCAAGGACTGCATGGCCTGAAGGTAAGGAAGGACTGACTTGCATTATGTTTTGCCAGCATAGATAACAGTAACCGTAACTTTTGAGTAGCTTATAGCTCAATCCTGAAACACTGGGAGAAAGCCCCACTGGATAGGCTTGATTCTGAGTAGACTGCTTAGGACTCGGGAAGCTATTCTAGGGCACCTAAACAACCAATACCTCTATTCTGTCTTAAGGTTTTGTGAGCCAGTATCTATTTTGTGAGATGCTCTAAGGTAGCTGCTAGAGTTGCCAGGTCCCTTTCGCCCTCCATCGTGTGTGTGTGTGTTCTGGGAGTGGGAAGTGGCGTCACCCCCGTCCCCCCAAAAAACAGTGATGTCGCATGTGATATGTCTGCATCACCCGGAAGTGACGTCAGCATGTCAGCATGTTGGAGGTGGTGCTCTGGATTTGGGGGAAAACTCTAATTTAAAATTGGCATCAAGCCATAGAATTGGTGGATTTAGTAGGACTGGGCCTTCCAAGTTAGGTAGTTGACACCATGGTGCAGTCCAGAATACCTGCTACCAGTCATCTCTGTAATCATATGTGGCAGACATTCAAAAGTGGACCAGTACATGATCTGAAGGCACTCATGGGTTCAGCTAATTGCCATGATGTGCCTAGCCTGCATATAATAGAAACTTCCAAATTGATGATTGAACACCTGAAAGACAAGTATGGAGGGGAGACAACCAGTAAGATTTATTACTTGAAGGCTCAGATCTTTGACTTCAGAGTAAAGAAAAGTGACTCTTTACCTGATCAATTAAAGAAGCTAATGGGGACTTAGTCAATTGAAAGAACGTGGGAAGACTCCTGATCAGTTAGACATGATTGCTGCTATACTGAACGGACTCCCTACAAGTTACAGAGGGCTAGCAATGTCTCTAAGATAACAAAAGGATCTAACGCTTGATGGTTTGTTGATGGTTTTAAAGGCGGAATAACTCCAGAACTAGTCAGGATGCTTTGTCTAATGAGATGTCTGTTTTGAGTTTGAAACATGTGCACAGATTTAAAAGGGAAAAGAAAATTGAATGTTTTCTATCTGGTGAAAATCATCTGGCCAGAGACTGTGAATTTAAAAATGCCAGAAATTGTGAATTTAAAAGGGATACCAGGCAAAAGTCCACTGGTGCACGTGTTCAGACTGAAAGAGCGACACCTGGTGGAAGAGGAAATCATAGCAACCACAGAAGTTTAATGCAGCCAGCAGAGGTCATGCTTTTAGAATCTGTGGTGATGATTATGAAAATAAGAGAGTATTTTAGTAGACTCTGGATCCTGTACACACACATGCAAATATAAGGACTTGCTTTGTGAACTTGATACTAACAATAGACCTGAAGTGTACCAAGCTAATAAGGAACCTCTTAATGTAGAGGGTGTTGGAACAGTGCCAATCAAACTCCTCACTACAACTGGATAAGTGATGGATGTTAAATTAAAGAACGTGGCTCTGATTCCTGAATCAGCTGATAATTTGATTTCAACCAAAAGACTTATGGAAAGTAATCATAAAGTATTGCTTAAGAGAAAGAAAGGAAGTAAGATTGTTGCTGAAATGTTTGGAATTGAATTTGGAGGAGGGAAATGGATTTCATTATCTTGTGGATGTTAGTGGAGACTCAGAAGTCGTTGATGCTGATGAGAGATAAGTTTATCAAACTGACAATGGCTCGTTATCGGAATTGCTTGTATGCATGGCATTTGAAGTTTGCACATCCTGGAATGCAGAGTGTTGAAAAGTTGTTAAAAGAATGTGGAATTTCTGCTGTAAGTTGTGACAAGGCAAAGGAGAGATGTGACACATGTCTCGAAGCAAAGGGAACTGCTCCAAAGTACACTGGCAAGTCCACTACTCACAATGAGAAGTTCCTAGAGACTATGTATAGTGATCTTGTTGGCCCATTAGCACCATCGTGTGGTGGGAACAAATACTTTGTGACTTTCACTGAAAGCAAAACAAAATATACTTTTGTGTCTGTGATGAAGGGCAAGGATGAGACGCTCAATAAATTCAAATGCTATGTGGCCACAATTAAAAACAAGTTTGGCTAAGCACCCCAAAGCTTACACACCGATGGGGGTGGAGAATATTGCAATGCAGAATTCAAAAGATTTCTAGAACTTGAATGGATTGAACACAAAGTGTCTATCCCACACTCGCCTCCACACAATGGCTCTTCTGAAAAGCTGAACAGAACAATCCAGGACATATGTAGGGCTATGCTAATACATTCTGGTCTACCAAATACCCTATGGGGTGAGGGTGTCAACACAGCAGTGTATTTACACAATAGAGTACCCTCAAAGGTAACTGGAACCACTTCATTTGAGCCCTGGTTTGGAAAGCAGCCTAGACTAAAGCACATCAGAGCTTTTGGTTCCAAAGGGTATGCTTACATACCAAAGGAGAAAAGGGGAAAACTTGACTCCAGAGCTGAAATTGGACTTGTAGTTGGGTATCCTGTTGGTGGAAAAGGATACAGGATATACAACCCCCAAAATCACACAGTTGACAAACACAATGTTGTATATATAGGTGAGAGCAATTTGACACATGCTTCCTGTGCAACTGATTCAAAGAGTTCTGAGACTGCCCCTGAAGAATTGGTTGCATGGTTACCTGTGGTAACCACTGGGGAACCAGTAGGTATACCTTCTGAAGAAACTACCAGAACAGAAGGGGAAGTGGGAACTGCACCAAAGGAGGCAGCAGAACCTGTAGCAGAACCCACAACCAGTGTGAGATGATCAGAAAGAAGCACTAAAGGGCAACCACCACAGAAATATGGATTTTGTGAAACTGTACAATCTGCAAAAGAACCTAAGAACTGGAAAGAAGTATGCAGCTTACCTGTGAGTGAAAGAGACAGATGGATTGAAGCAATGGAACAGGAAATACTATCCGTATATGAGAAAGAAGCATGGACTCTTACAAAGTTACCTCCAGACAGAAAGCCTGTTGGATGCAAATGGGTATTCAAAATCAAGCATAGAGATGATGGGACTGTAGAACTATACAAAGCACGCCTAGTAGCCAAAGGCTACAAGAATATGGGACTGACTACTTTGAAACTGTTGCTCCAGTTATCAATCAAGCAATGTTCAGAACACTTCTTAGTGTTGCAGCATCAAGAGACATGATTGTAGAGCATCTGGATATAAAGACTGCATTCCTCAATGAAGAACTATCTGAGGAAATATTTATGGAACAACCTGAGAGTTTCAAAGTCAAAGTACAAGAAAATTATGTTTACAGACTCAACAAAGGACTCTATGGTCTAAAACAAGGAGCAAAAGCTTGATATGATAAAATTACAGGACTATTGCAGAAGCAAGGCTTTGAGCAAGGGAAAGCTGAATTGCCTGTACACTAGAATTAAAAATGGACAATACCAGTATGTTCTTGTTGATAACTTGGTCATGTCTTGTCAAAACAGAGAGGATATTAAAGAAATAGCTGATGGACTGAACAAGGAAGTAGAAGTCAAACAGCTTGGAGATGTACAACACTACCTCAGAATACAAGTTGAAAGACTCGAGGACGGAACCTTTCTTCTATGCCAGAAATGAAAAAGTATGGACTTTATAGAATCTGTTGGTATGAAAAACTGCAAAGCGTCATCCATACAACTTGAACCTGCATATCTAAAGGAAAAGAATGGAACACCTCTCAGAGACATTGGAGAATACAGAGAAGCAGTTGGAAAACTTTTCTACTTTAGCAAAACCATGAGGCCTGACATCACAGCAGCAGTTGGCATCTTATGCATCACTTCTAAGATGAACCCAGAAGTGACAGAATTGCTCTAGGATTCACCAGAAACTCTGTGGTTTTAGATAGTTTCTGGTGAATCCTAGAATGTTGCACAAGGCAATGCTGTCACTTCTGTTTTGATTTGTTTTTATTCTTTTTTATTGCTTTCAAATAAACAGAAAAATAGGGGGGGAACTTTAAAAGAAAAAGAAAAAGATATCCATAAAGATAAAAAGTTAACAACAGTGGTGGCAGATCCACACGTAAGTTTCTGTAAACAGTTTCCAGATATCTAAAAATGTCCATGCACAATTGTCATCTATATGCCACGTGTTCAAGTATTGATAGGGTTCTAAAGTCCTCAATCCATTGATTTACTGAAGTGGGCTTTTGTCTTTCCAGTGTTGTAATACAAGTCTTTTAACTGTAGAAGAGCTTAGAGGGTCCATTTTTGTTGACCTTAGTTACCCTCCAAGTTTAAAAATACATAGACATCCTCAAAAATTGATGAACATTCTAATACAAAATGGATATGAGTAATAACTTTTTCCTAGAACAACCAAATGACTTTTAGGGTGAACCCAAAAGTGATGACACAGCATTGCTGCACTACTGATTTTCCCTAGGCTTAGGTGTGGGAGATCCAGGCTCAAATTCCTGCTCCTTGATGGATCTGGCAAGCTGCTGTTTTTCAGGATAATCTACTTCGCAGGGCTGTTGTGTAGCAAAAATACAGCTTTAAGCCCTTGGGAGAATGGGCTGGATGCAAATTCAGCACATAGGATCAGATCTAGTGCTTGGTACACTTCTTTCTCTTACACCATGAGTTAGACCCACAGAGAAACTGTCCTTTGTGTGATGTGCTGGGCCTTCCTGTATTTATGGTCACTAGGGGACACCTATGGAAGTCCATGCAGTAATGATTCCAAATAGGGTTGCCAACTTCCAGGTGGTGCCTGGACATCTCCCAGAATTACAATTGATCCAGACTTCAGAGATCAGTTCCCCTAGAGATAGGGGGTCTGCAAAACAAAAATGTAAATCACAATGGGGGGTCCCCAGGTTGGTAAAGGCTAGGTCCACTGGTATAGAAATTTGAAATCTCCAGGTATCTACAGCACTGCCACCATAGAATCCCAGCTAACTTGTAGGAAACACTGAAAGAATTTTGGGATGCCTTACAGGGAAAAAAAGACAAGACTCTGGCTTTAGTATCAATCGTGTCTGGAACTTAGAGTCTGTGCACATATTTTTTTATCCACTGATTTCCCACCCCTCTTTGCAAAATAGGCCAGGTTTGTATTTTAAGTAGTACTTGGGATGGTTTATTAGTGGGTCTCTGGGTCTGTTTTATAATTGTATTTTTTCCTTTCTTTGGTCTGCTGGTATTTCCCCTCCCCGCTCTGGGCAGAAGCCAGAGGGCTGAAGGCACAACAGTTCACCCCCACTCCCTTTCCATTGACCAAAGCGAGATACATGATATCTTTCCTCATTTGGGGTTGGTGGGAGAACATGGGATTACATACCATTTGCAGGGTATAAACATTTTATGTGAAGTAACGGGTAACTTCATGTCAACAAATGGCTGCATTCTTTCACAGTTCAAGTGGCAAATTGAGCTGCTGTTGGTTGGAGAAGTGGCATTCTTGTTGAGAAAATAATTTCTTCTAAGAGACCTGCACAACAATTGGCTTTTCTCCCCCTTTCAGGGTCACAAAGGTCGCCCTGGAGCCCTTGGGGAGCCTGGCAGGCAAGGCAAGCCGGTGAGTACATATATGCTCTAACCCCATCTTATCCCTTACTGGATCTTGCAAAGGGGTGCTACCTGTGAAGGGCCTTTTCAGACATTACAAGGGAGTAAATCTGGGTTTGCCACTGGAGGTACACTTGACGGGACTGCAGCCAGTCCTGGCTTCCTCAAAAGTTGGTGTAGATGACATTCATATTTGGAGAAGGCTGTTTCTGCTTGTTCACCCTTTACACTTTCACACCCTTGGGTGTAATCCTAACAATATAATGTGTGGATGAGCCCATAGCTGAGTTCTGAGAAGTTCTGTGTTCTTATCAGGAACATCCTTTGCATGTTTTAAGGGTAGATTATGGAAATGGTAGCAGCTGAGAGAGTGTGAGTATACAGGTCTAAGCCCCTCACGCCAGTCCAGGGATGAGAGGTAATCCTGTACTTTTACAGTACATTAAACAACAACCCACGAGATGGTCTATACCCTCTCTGGTTTCAGAACAATATGCCACCAGAACCTCTACATTAGTTCCCCCCCAACCTGAGATTAGAGGTTCAAACTCTCAGTTGGTATCTGGAACTTAACACATTAGCAACTCACTCAGAGCTGCACACTTTACGCTTAATGGTAGCTTGTGGTCAGCTTAGGCACAGGAGTTTAGACTTGGAACTCAGGTACAACATCAGAGACCATTTAGAAACAAGAATATTTTTTTTTATTCAGTATAGATCTTAACACAGACTACCAGAGTTTACCAAAATAACAAGCCTAAGGCGATTTGCCTTAACTACATAGTAAAAGATACATATTTAGCAAGTTCAGGAATATCCAACCATCCAAGGGATTTTGAAGGCAAAATCCATCTTTGCTCGACCATGTGGTCCAATTCACAAAGCGAGTCCTTTGTCCCTCAAGGGCTGCATTTCAGGTGCAATAAAACAAGTAGAGACAGCAGGAGCAGAGAGCAAGCACACGGCAGCTCTCTCATTGGGATCAAACAATTATAGCCCAATTCCAGTCATGATCAGCTGTGGCCATGCAGCCAATCACGAGTGGACATAGGTGTGTCCAATTGTTGGTTGCCATAGCTGCAACACAGGAATGGCTAGAAGTTTGGAGACTCCTCCTGCAGTCAGGTGACCCAGCTTCTAGCTACTTCATTTAGTACGTGACTTGCTGCAGGCGAGGCAGGGGCCATCAGGTCTGCCTCTTCCCTTAGAGGTGTGAAAGAATGTGTGGTTATATGGCATGGTTATAAAGTTTCTCTGGCCAAATGGACAGGCCATTTGGCTTCAACAGGAAACAAGACACAGCATGTTATCAGAAAGACATTACAGGAGAAGGCATGTGAATATAGAAGCAGAAAGCAAAATTTCTACACAGTGAGATAGAGAGAGGAAAGGCACAAAAGTTGTAGAAGACTTTGAAAAATAGTATAGGGCAAGACTTGACAAATCTCAGGTGCCAGGGGGCCACGGCACCTAGAAATGTCATTGTGAAGCCATTTAATGTAGGTGCCTCTTGTTGATTCTCAGTAGAAATACAGAGCTTACTTAGGGGAGTTGTGATGACAAACAACACTCCCTGTATTTATATGCTACAATACTTTTGTTATAGCTTTAAAAAATGACAAGAAACTGTGTAGAGGTTAGGATTAGGTTTTATGGTAGAAACAATAAGAAAGTATGGTCGTCAAAAATGTACAAACTGAAAAATAAGTCAGGCTCCTAAATTTTTGGGGTAGCTCATAAAGCTGAAGAAAATGTGTCAAGGCCTGGCATAGCAAAGCAAGAGACAAGGAGAAAAAGAGAGACCCACATGACCTAAAGATGGTAGGGGAGATCTAGGACATTTGGTGGAAAATAAAGTCCCGCCCCCCACCCCGCCCCATGAGTGGTTCAGATGGGATCCCTTTCTACATACTGCAGGTCCCAGGTTCAATTAATGCTGATCCAATTAAAAAAGATCAGTTAGCTGAATATTTAGAAAAAGTGTCTCTGCTTGAGTCCCTGACAGTCAGAACACAGAACACTCAGCTGCACGGACTGATGGATTGCCTTAGTATAGTACAGCTTTTGTTGAGAGCCTGTAGCTCAGTGGATATTATGTGAAGATCCCAGATTCAATCTCTGGCATCTGCACTTAAAAGATCTCAGGTGGCTGATATTGAGAAAGACCCTTTTCTTTTTCAAACTCCAAAAAGCTGCAGTATGAAACAGGGGTAGGAGGTTCTTATGTTACTGAAGAAGAGATTGGATTTATACCCCACCCTTCACTTGGAGTCTCAGAGCGGCTTACAAACTCCTTTCCCTTCCCCTCCCTACAATAGACACCCCGTGAGGTAGGCAGGGCTGAGAGAGCTCTTTCCAGAACTGTCCTTGAGAGAACAGCTCTGACAGAACTATGACTTGCCCAAGGTCATCCAGCAGCTGCAAGTGGAGGAGTCACCCGGTTTCCCCAGATTAGAGTCCACGCACTTAACCACTATACTGATAGGGTATAATGTAGATTTTCTTGATTCTATTGTTCCACTACATAATCAAAGCTCTAATTCAAAAATCTTTGTCCAGTCTTTCAAATCCAGTTTGTTAACTGTCTTCTTTTTAAATTTGACCAGGGCCCAAAGGGAGATGTTGGCTTATCTGGAGAACAAGGAATACCTGGCCCTCCCGTAACGTATTTATTTATTCTTATTTCTTAATTTTACTCTTTCTGTTCTAGGCTGTCTCTGAATCCCCTGTCCCAGGATCTGACACTCACTTCTTATCACCTGCAGTCAAATCCCTTTAACCCTTCTCTTGAGTTGAAAATATTGGGACAACAGGAGGGTGACAGACTCTGATTAAACATTTTGTCTTTCAGCATGATCAGTGAAATTGCACTGTATTCATGTATTTATTCAAACATTTATACCCCACCTTTTCTCGAGGTTCACGGTGTCTTACAATAATAGTTAAAAGAATTCTAGTTAAAAACAGAATAAAATAAACCACAAATCCCCAAATCTCTCCCTCCCTGCCTGCCATTCAAAAGCCCTGGCAAAAAACAAGCCTTGCAGTGCCCCCTCCTGAAGATGTAGAGAGATGATCCATTGGACTTTTCTCATTCTTTCACATCCCAGCCCCTAAGGGAAATGATCACTTAAGGCGAAATAAGCTAAGCAGAGATAGCCAGTGAAGTGGTGGAGGAAAGACATAAAATGACTCTACCTTTCCCTCCAGCTTTCTCTGCTTAAGTCCAGGGGCAGTTTCAGAATTCTTAACAATCAGAGCTTGGCTTAACATGTGGCTAACTTTCACATGATGAATGTAGGCTGTAAGTGATCAGAGGACCTCTGAAGGTGACATTTAGCAACATGGAGTTGGGGGGTGGGGAGAATGTGGGGCTTTTAACCAATCCACACCAGCTTGTCGCATTCCCACCAAGACTTTCTTCTTTCAGTCTCTACAAAGAGTGCATTCCCAAGGGGAATTAATTAATTAATTCCGCTTTGATGATAAGAATTAATTAACAGGCAGGAATTTAATTTTTTCCCCCTTAAGCTGGTGGCAATTTTTCTTTGCCTGAATGACTGCTCTGTTTTTTTGAGCTAATGTTATTAAATGGATGTCCTGAATGGGGTCGTAGGAAAGAAATACTAGCAAGAGATGATCAGTGAGTTGGACAAGGGGGAAAAAAGCTGGTGACTAATCTTTTTTTGAGGTAATGATTTTCTGCACTTCACACATGGATGGTATTCAAGGTGACAGATGGGGGGAAGTGGAGGCTTTTGAACGGCTGTAGCTGCAAGATATGACTTCAACCAGCTGCAAGATAATTAATCTAGGACTTGGTTTGCTTTTCTTTCCCAGGGTCCTCAAGGTCTCCGAGGATACCCCGGAATGGCAGGGCCTAAAGGAGAAATGGTAGGTGCACTAGAAAGACGGGGAAATGTTAACGTGTTGATAATGTCATCATAATGCATGTGGACCTGCCTATCACTTGAGGTCATTATCCAGAGGCCTTTCTCCATGGCACTCATGGGCTATACCAGAAAATGGGCTTGTGCTTGCTCTCCGAAGGATATGTGCCTGGTGCTGTCTTTGTCGTCTTTTAGGCACTAGGCAAAGCCTGTCTTGCCTTCTGTTTTTGTGCTTTGGCTTTAATTGTTCCTGGCGTAGAGGCTTTTATGGTTTGGGGTGTTTATTGCTGCCATTTCACACCACTTTTGAAAAATTAATCTGGGCTGCGGTCACACGGAGTGTTAGGCACGCTAGAGAGATGGAAGATAGGCAGATTTTCCGGGCACGATCTCACTGCCACATCTGGGAAGCGTAGAGCTCCCGTGGTGAACCTGAGGCTTCACTCCGAAGATGCGCTGTAAAAAACTAGTACCTCCGAGGTACTAGTTTCCGGAAACCGCGGGGCATGGGCGGGCGTCTGATTGCGTTTCCGGTGGTAGTTCCGGCGCCCGCCCATGTCCCCTCGCAAAAAGTTCCCCCCCCCCAAGTCTCCACGGATGCACACAAGCACCCAACGGAGTATGCGCACACTTTGGTTTTAAAAAAACCCCACAACCCCGTTTGCCCCACGGCCCCGCTTCATTGCAGCGCCGCAGGATTGTCCTGTGATTGGCACCTCCCCCCTAACCACGGAACCTCCACGGGACATCTGTTTGCGCAACTGCGCGTTATTTTGCCCGGGGCAAACAGCCATGCTTCCCCCCCGCATTTTCCGGCCCGTATGACCGGGGCCATGGTTTAACAAGCTAGAAGGGGGAGAACAATGTGGAAATCAATCCCCAGTATCCATCCCCAGTATCTCCCCCTCCAAGATTCTATAAGTTCTCAGGGCCTTGAGTAGGCATATTTCCCTCCTTCCATTTTTGCGTCTGTCCTGTGTTCCAGCATTCTGTGTTTCCTGGATCATACTTAGTCCTTAGCAGGCATTGGGGGGTTTGTTTTCTCTTTTTCTTTTGGTTAATTTACAGAGTCATATTCTTTTTTTCCCTGTAAACCCGAGAAGATCCCTGAATGTGTAGAGACTCTGACTTTGTAGGTGCCAGGATTGCTGCTTTTGTGATTGGTGGGGGGGAGTCACTTGGCTCTTAGGTATGGTGGTTATCTTGCTTTATGCTGTGTGTGCTTTTGTCATGGCCCATTAATACAGTCTAATGAGCCGTGGGGAAAAAAAAGAGCTCCTTGGGCTGGTGGAAGGCTTCATATTTTGCTGAGCAGAGTGGTTGGATTAAGGCTGCTAGCTTCCAAGTGGGGCCTAGATTTCTCCCAGGATTCCAACTGATCTCTGGACTCCAGAGATCCGTTCCCCCGAAGGAAGAAGGGGTCTAAAATCCTCCCTGTCAAAAAAGACACCCAACTAGAAGTTGACATGTTTTTTTCTCCTTCTTGTCCCATCTACGGTGTTATTGAGAATGGTGCTATCAGTATCATAGGCTGGCTTCCCGGTTTTGTGTTCATTTGGGGCCCCTTTGGCTGAGGAAGCGTTTTGCTTCGTGTCTTGTGTTGCACCAGGCACAGTGCCACAACAATACAGTGGTGTGACGAATTATCTAATTTGTATCCAAATAAAGGTGGATGAAATTATTATGAAGTAAGCAACAAGTGCTCTTGGAATACATTTTGATAACTGTATCTCAAAGCAAAGTTATAAGGCTAAACTTGGCCCTTGTTCACAATTAGAAAGACCAGTACATCTGACTATTTCTTCAGTTACACTAATGAGCTGTCAGATTTCAAGGCAGTCCTGTACTTTTTCCTGACCGGCTGCTGAACCCTACAGAGGTTATGAAAGCTACATAAGAGTACACATAGGTAACACTATGATTAAATCCATTGGTATGCAACAGGGGTGGAAGTGAAAGTGCAGGTGGGAGCAATTGAAATTGTGGAAGGGAATGTAGTCATTTTGCCACAGTGGCATGCTCCACGGGACATTTCTCTCTTTATGCTGTGTTTTTGTAGGGCCCCCGAGGTTATAAGGGAATGATCGGAACCATTGGAGCGGCAGGACCTCCGGTAACTCTCTTTTTCTTTATGTTAACTTGGTTTAGCTCTGGGGGGGGGGACGGTTCACCCCCCAGGTGGCTGCTTCAGGCCACAAATCAGCAAAGGCTGGCATGTGGAAGGAGGCAACAGGCATGGCCTGCACTCATCATTGACCTGTAGCACTACTACCTGCATCCAAATCAGGCCACAGAGCCTGCCTTGGAGCAAGCAGGAGGTGGCACAGGAGGAAGGAATTTGGGAAGGGAAAATTTCAGAATCCTGGTTAAATCAGTTCTCAACACCACTCACTTTGAAGAAAGTTTAGTTTATTGAGACGTTGAAGAATACCATACTGAACACAAGCTTTGTTAGGACTGAAGGTGAAAGCACGGGGATTGCAGATATATTGTGTTCAAGCAGAGGCACTAAAGATCAAGACCCAATCACCCCATGGCATTTGCCCACCAGAAACAACTACCCCCCCACTTGAATCTGTCTTCAATGATAGTGTTTCAGTGTAGAGAACCCAGCACCTGAGTAACCCTCCAGAGCACGTGGCCCCTTTCACCCTGGGAAATGTTTTGGGTGACAGCTCACAGACATGGGCACTCAGTTGTGGTGTTGCATGTTCACACTAATGTCACATGCCAAATATAAAAATCATTTTGAGCATCTCTCGTGCAAGCGCAACTGGAGATAGAAGCTTTTCCCATCTCTTTCTTGTTCTCTGAGTCAGACTGCGGGGACATTTGAACCCTCGGTGCTGGATTCTTTACTCTCTGGAAATGATTCTCTGAAAGGCTTGAAGGGGTTCTGTCTCGTTTTCTATTTAACCATAATATTTTTCCATCTAGGGTGAAGAAGGCCCAAGGGGACCCCCAGGGCAGGCTGGTGATAAGGGAGATCTTGTAAGTAAAAAATGCTTTATGGAATCATTTAAGAAAGCTCCAAGAGGGGAGCAGCTCCTTGCTGTTGGAACCCTCTTAACTGTATTTATTCGTTTTAATTCTGTTTGTAACCCCAGTCATTCCAAGGGCTCAGAAAAGTGGGTAATGTCAAATTCATACTGCTTACATTGCTTAAACCTTCTTTTGCCTGGTCCTTGGCCCTCTCAATAGCCCAATAATATCTGCTTCCAGAAGACACCTCAATTTGAGTACTGGAGGAGGAGATTCCAGAGTCGAAGGCTTGCCTGCAGGCCTTTGTGGATCCTGATTTGGTACTATTTAGAAGGTATTCCTGGCCAACCTTAAAGGGGTGGAGCATCTGCTTGGTGCACAGGTAATCCCAGGTTCAATCCCCAGCATCTCCAGTCGAGGATCAAGTAGGTGATGTGAAAGACCTCCACCTGAGACCCTGGAAAGCCATTGGCAGTTTGAGTAGACAGTACGGAACTTGATGGACCAATGGTCTGATTCAGTTCAAAGCAGCTTCTTGTGTTCATGATCAGGAGTGAGACCAACTGTTGTGAGCTGTTATAATTCAGTTCCCATGTCCTTACTTCAAGTGTCGCTTCTCCCGTGTGAGCCACAAACCAGCGATTCTTTCTTTCTTTTTGCATTATCTGTTCTGTGTACCAGGTCATTCCCATAAATGTGTTTCTTCCAGTCAAATGTATGCATTTGTGTGTGTCTTGATTACGCATCACCAGTGAAAAAAGACACATGTGGCAAAATGCTGTAAAATAAGCAAAACAATACTTAAGAGCAAGAATGAAAATGAAGCAGGCCAAATGCAACAATTACAGCACCCTGTGGAATGAGAAAGAAAATAAAAATGTCCAGACTGGCTGATCCCAAGTCAAGCTAGAATTCGAAAAAGGTTTACCATGCAGTTCTATACAGAGTTACATCCTTTGGACAGGGGCCATGACAGTGGTAGAGCATCTCCTTGGCATGCAGAAGGCCCCTTATTCAATCCCTGGCATCTCCAGTGACAGGATATGGCAGTAAGTGATGTGGAAGACCTCTGCCTGAGACCCTGGAGAGCCATCGCCAGTCTGAGTAGACAATATTGACCTTGATGGACCAAGGATCTGGTTCAAGATAAGGCAGATTTATGTGTTCTACGCCCATTCCTCAAACTCAATGGGCTTAGAAGGGTGTAATTCTATTTAAGATGCACTGTTATCTATGCTGGACATGGCCCCCTTCAAGCTTTATAGCTCATCATCAGCACCTTTCATTGAACCCAGGACTAGTGCACCAGCAGTGGCGCACTTGTAGCATGCACTCTTGGCACCCATTCCTGTCTCAAGGAAGGTTCCAGCTGAAACATCCCAGCAGTGATCAAAGGCAGATTTCTGTCAAGGGCATGGTGTTAGATACGATCCTGCCAGTGTTTAGGGGTCTCTGCTGAGAAGTCCTTGTCACATGTGCCTTTTGCGTGTGGAAGGCTTGCAGGCCACCGCAGGCTTGTTCATTTTTTTGGCTTCCTGCCTGGGATGGCAAGCGAGTGAGGGTTGTATGTTCCTGGCAGTTGTGTTCAGCTTGGTGTCTCATGAGTCGTGCAGGTCTGAGATGTGTAGCTTTCCTTGCATGCACTTTTCCTTTAATGCTTGACTCATTTGACCTAAGGTCTCAGGTCAGGCCACATTAAATTATTTTTATTAATTAATTAATTTTTATTATTATTGTGTGTGTGTGTGTATTTAAAATGTGTCTCAGAGCCATGGGGAGTATGGAAGTTCACTTAAAACTAGGTCTCACAGGGACTAACAACTTGGCCCTTGAGTTAGCTACTCAGGCTTCATGTTTCTGTCTGGTCTTCTCCAGCTGTGTTGGCAACTGTCCTCTCTGGCCCTTTCCCTGCATTGTGGGTGTCTTTAAAGAACACTGTTCCCTCTCCCTTAATTTCATTAGAGCCAGCAGCAGTGCCCTCTGCTGTGCCCACTACCATGTCTAGCCTCCTTGTTAACTTGTTCATTGTCAAAGCCAAGGCATATTTTGATTCGGATGCCCTCTGCTGTGGGCAAGGGAGGGGAGAGCTGTTGTCTTGAAACACATTATGAATGAAGCTTTGGAGGTTTATATGCTTGCATCCAGGGCTTTTTATTAAAAAAAAAAAAGAGTTGCCAGAACTCTCAAGAGGGAAATGAGGTTTCCAATCTCTATATTGAAAACTCATGAACTTTTAAACATTGTTCAAAGTATTTTGTTGAAGAGGTTCTGGAACTCTGTTCTGGTGTGTTCCCCCAGAAAAAAAAGCCCTGCTTGTGTCTCTTCCCCCTCCCTCGAGTGGAAGGAAGCCAAAAAACCCAAAAAGGGGGGGGGGGGGGAGTCGGGGTCAAGAGTATTTGGATCAGCTTCGGAAGTGACATTCATAATGCCTTTGATTTCTTGGTTGGATGTTTCCAAGCATTCTTTTATACTGAAGAGCACAGTGGGTTCATTTAGCTGCGGTATTCTGGCGGGATTGCCAGTTTGGTCGAGAGGTTTGTACATTTTCTCACCTTCCATCCCAGATCAGAACATGTGAACACACATGAACACATGATCTGGCCTTTTGTCCATTAAGGTCAGTATTGTCTACTCTGGCTGGCAGCGGCTCTCCAGAGTCTCGGGCAGAGGTCTTTTGTATCACCTAGTGCCAGATCCTTTAAACGGAGATGCCAGGGATTGAACCTGGGACCTTCTGCATGCCAAGCAGGTCATCTGCCATTGAGCCACAGCTCCTCTAGCCTATGGATGGCCTGGCTGGGTCAAACCAAGCCCCCTTTGGTCTTGCACGCTGTTTCCAATTGTGCCAGCCAGACACTTCTGGAAGCTTAAGAGCAGGACCTGAAGGTAACTGCTTTCCTGTGTTTCATGCCCCTAGCTTCTGTCATTCAGAGGTATACTGCCTGTGAAAATGGAGGCTCCCTGTTAGCTATCATGACTTGTAGCTGTTAATGATGTCTTAGGTGCCCTGCTGGGTCATTCCACTGGCCCATCTAGTCCAGCATCCTGTTTTACACAGTAGCCAACTATGTGCCCCGTGGGGCCAACAAACTGGGCAGAGAGGCCAATGCCTGGCGGGTCCTTATAGCTCTGTGATTCAGACATATGGAGCCTCTGTGTAGGGCAGTTTCATTTTGTTGCCTGAGATAGTAGCCACTGATGGACCATCTATGACAGTGGCCACTGGTAGCATATCAAATCTTGAGAGACCAGCCTTCAATTTCTGTACAATTTGAACTCTGTAGACCCCACTGGAGACTGATGGAGCCCTCCCCTCCCTGCCTCTGCCAGTCAAGAGCCATCCATCCAATTAAATCTATTTTTGAGTTTTAGGGAGATGAGAGTACAGACCGTGTAGAAACCACAGCCATGTGCTGTGCTGGTTCTTATGCAGTTCTTACATTTGTTCCTTTCTAGGGTGCTCGTGGCATCAGAGGCCCCCAGGGAGGAATGGGACCCAAAGGAGGAAATGTAAGTTTGACCTCTTTCTGAGTTCCATTTCACAGCTCTGCAGGATTCTGGGAGAAACATGTCAAGGGCGTTTGCCTAGTTTCCTGCTTAAGGAAACTGCCAAACTTGCTGAAACATGGTGAACACCAATGCTCCATCTAACTTGTGGAGTCCTGTGAGCAAAAATTCTACTTTTTGAGCTACTGGCATTAAAGTTGTGATGAGCGATTTGGCTACTGCATAAATTAATTTGCTCTGGAGCCATCTTTCCTGAACCTAGACAAAAATGTGTGAGCCGTAGGCTAAAAAACTGTGAGCTAGCTCCCACTAACTCAGCTTAGAGGGAACATTGTTAACACCCAAAAACATGGTTTATCTTCCTCCTCCTTTTGTAGGGTCTTCCTGGGATTGATGGCAAAGATGGCACTCCAGGTATCCCTGGGGTGAAGGTAAGAAGACATGTGCTTGAAGTACAAAAGGAACGAGTATTTTAAAAAATGTTCTTGCCATTTTGGTCCATGGCATCATTCAGATTTGTTTCTTGCCCAAACTTATGCTTCCACCCCTACCCCTCATCTCTTTCACATAACCAAGGATCTCTAACCACCATCTGACTATGTAGTGAACAAAAGAACCATAATGGGTGCATTCAGACGTGCCGTTTGATCTGGTGTCATGACAGTTCAGCAACGGATTTTATATACACAATCACACAGTCAACATCTGCCTCCCGTCCCCAGCTGTTGGTTTCCGGCTCAAAACTGCTTTAACCTGGATTATTTTGTTACCAGGTCTCAAAGTGGTGTTTTCTCAGCTCTCCCGTTTAAAGACGCATTTTCCCCCTGTGTGATCGCTCCTCCATTGTCAAGCCACATCCGGTTTAAACCCCCTCCCCGCTCAAAAGCTGCCCGAGGCTTCCGCTTTTCGCCTACCTTTTTTTTTAGCGTCGGCGGTGCGCACATAGCCGGAGCTCCGCTACCATGTTTAGAAAACCAACATTTAAACAGTCACTTGTTTTAGCGTTTAGAGGAGTTTGAGATCTCACGGAGGCCATTTTCGGGTCAAACGTTTAAAGGGATGTCTTTTGTTGGAGGGGTTGGATTGATTTGCCCTGGTAGTTCTGCACATGTGCCATGGTAGTTCCCCCCCCCTTTCTACAGATGAGCGCCTATGCACATGCGCAAACTGAGGAGAGAGGAAAACCCGCCGACACACGCTCCCGCGCATTGGTAGTGTGGATGCCGGGAAGTGACTAACTGCGCGGTGAGGTGGGATAAGGGAGGTGTGATCGCAATTATCCAGATAAAATATAATCCGGTTAGAACCAGTGAAGTTTAACCTACTCTCAGCACGCCATCTGACCGCACCCAATAAGGAGCAAACTTCATGGGGGACCAAAGTTGGAGGGAGTGGGGAGAGGATGAAAAGTCCCAAAGGCACAATTTTGAAAAAGTAATGCAATTTTATTGTAACAGAAACCAGAATTTCCATTTCATTAAAAGAGAAGAGCAGCCTGAATAGCCCAGAGCAGCCCAATCTTGTCAGAGCTTAGCCACTAAGCAGGGTCAGCCCTGGTTAGGTCATGGATGGGAGACCACCAAGGAAGGTGAGGGTTGCTACGCAAAGGAGGGCCATGGCAAACCACCTCTGCTCATCCATTGCCCATGAGGGGTCGCCATGAGTCAGTTGCAAATGGACGGGACTTAATTATATGATATTATTATTAAAAGATAAAAAGCAGAAGACTCCTAAAATGGGAAGCAGCATATTTAAAAAAAAAAATCAAAGCATTTCAGAAGTTTTCCTTCAACTGTCTGGCTAGTGATTCAGGCTGATGGGGGTTGCTCAGAACTTACTTGTTTGCAAAATTCTCGGAACAAAGAAACAAAGTTGCCCCAGGTTCTGGCAAGAAAATAAAGAGCTGCGCCAGTCACAGGAAATTTAAAAAAGCCAATGGTGCAGAATCTGGTAAAAATATACTTGCTTACTCAATTAAATTCCCAAAAACTTCCCTCTACACAATACACCAACAGGCTTCATCGTGGGAATCTGTTCATCTTGTAATGGTTCTTTAAAAAGAATAAAAGATCAGTAGGGTGGATCCTATGGCATTATATCCCACTGAGGTCCCTTCCTTCTCCAGGCTACACACCCAAATCTCCAGGCATTTCCCTACCTGGAGTTGGCAACCCTAAGCAACAGCCTCCCTTTTGGTTGTTAGTAAGACAGAGGGTGATTTCCCACAAGTGCTGCTCTGCGCTCACTCTTCTCTTTGGCCCGATGATACGTGTCAATTTCACATAAGCTGCTGCGCGGCCGCATTTTGCCCCGCAGCTTCGTGCGATTTTCCCCGCGTCTACTCAATCCTATTTTTTGAGGATTGAGTAGACGCGGGGAAAATCGCACGAAGCTGCGGGGCAAAATGCAGCCGCGCAGCAGCTTGTGTGAAATTGACACGTACCATCGGGGCAAAAGGGAGGAGTGAGCGCGGAGCAGCGCTTGTGGGAAATCACCCTGTGTTTGTGTCATAATTTGCTGTCTTCCAGTAATGGCTTTCCTTGTTTCGACTTGCAGGGGAGCACCGGGCAGCCGGGCCTTCCCGGGCCACCCGGCCACCGAGGATTAGCTGTAAGTATTATATCCTTTCCCATCAAAGCCAATCACGAAGTTGAATTTGCTACTTTCCCTGTTTCCAAACCCAGCCCAGTTGATCGCTCCTTGAGTGGAAAACGCTCTACCATGTTTATCATGAGCCAGGAGAAGAATTACCACTGTGTGGTTTAAGTGTCAGACAAAGTCCAGGGAGTCCTGAGTTCAAATCCACACTTGCCATGAAGATCAAAGGGTGACCTTGGGCCTGTCAGACTTTCAGTCTAAATCTACCTCTCAGGATAAAATGGAGGACAAGGAAACGGGCCTACAAGGCTCTGAACTCCTTCAAGGAAGGGTGGGATGAAAATGTAACCGGTAGAATAAAACACCACACAGAACTCAGCCAAGTGGTCCCCCTCTGCTCAGCATCCCTGCTACCAGCTATTAAGTGGAGGTAAAGTGTCATCGTCCTTCCATGAGAAGAAAGATTCATTCCAAGTCTGTGTCTTGCGAAAAGCCCTTCCCAAACCAGAACAGAAATAGATGCCTTCTACACAACCAATGCATTGGGGGTTTTCTTGTTTCCCTTTAGGGTTTGCCAGGCACACCGGGAACCAAAGGTGGCCCAGGGCAGAAGGTAAACCAGATTTTGAGTGTAAATATTCTGTTTCTTTTTGCCTGTAAAACAGAGAGGCTGGCCACCACAGGTAGGGAATGGTTAAATGCACTGAATTCTGTCCCTCTCTCTCCCCATTCACAGGGTGAACTAGGAGGGCGTGGTCTGCCAGGTTCCTCTGGGCTACCTGGGAAAATTGTAAGTGGATCCTTCCCTTTATTGCATTGTGTTTTAACTGGCACAGTCCTTTCTTGGAAGTTACATTACAACCTCTGGGTGGAGCATGGCTGTGTCTTGACTTCATACGTATGCAAGCCAGGCATGCCTGGTAGGCTTTCTCCCGCTGGGCCCTTCCACCTATCCCTGGCTCTGGGCTGGTCGGTGAAACAGTGGGGAGGTGGACATGAAGTTGCACACCTTGCGGCCGTCACGTCCAGGCAAAACCCGAGACATGACAACAGCACAGCAAACTAGATGTGACATGGATTCATTGTGTGATGTCACGTCCGGCACTTACTCCGCTCTCTGAAGCGCACACCTAATTCAGACAGGATCATCGCCTGGCACCCCTAATTCAGACAGGATCAGTGTAATAGCACACCTTGCTTCCAAAACCAGCACTGGTCAGGCTGTTGTAAAGGAAATGTATAGTTATACAGCAGGGGTGAGGTGCATTGGGACATTAGGTAAAGGTAAAGGTTCCCTTGCTCGAAAGCCAGTTGAATCCGACTCTAGGGTTGCGGTGCTCATCCCCGTTTCAAAGCCGAAGAGCCAGCGCTGTCCGAAGACGTTTCCGTGGTCATGTGGCCGGCATGACTAAACACCAAGGCGCACGGAACGCTGTTACCTTCCCACCTAAGTGGTACCTATTTATCTACTTGTAGTTTCTTGCTTTCGAACTGCTAGGTTGGCAGGAGCTGGAACTAGAGACAGGAGCTCACTCCGTCATGCAGCAACCCAGGTCTCGAACTGCTGAACTACTGACCTTCCACAGCCTGCAGTTCAGCGTCTTAACCACTTATTGGGACATTAAAACAGCCCAATTTGAGTGAGCTCTAACCGCTTCCTTCACTGGAAGCTGCTCATCTGGAACTTTTAACCAGGCAGGCTGTCCCCACTGTCTGCCCTTGAATGTGAATTCTTGTTGCTCCCTTACCCTGAGTGGTCTCCTCTGGTTTACAGCAGATCTCTGGACACAAATTACAAAAAGTGTTAGGGGGTGAGTGAGAATCACTCTTAATGCTGCAGATTCCTTTCTGGGCCTGCAGGAGGCAGAATTGCACTATGAAATCCTAGAGTCACTAACCACAAATTGTCCCATGGCACCTCAAAGAATAAACACATTTGATGAATTTCACACCATAATCACCTCCTGTACCACAGAGCTCTGTGTTGTTTTGGCTACTACAGACTGACAAAGCTACTTTAAAAAAAATCCGCCTTATAGTAAGATCTCTGCATTCCCCCCCATAGGGTGAGCCTGGACCGCGCGGGGAAGTGGGCCCTCAGGGGGTTCCCGGTGTGAAGGTAGGTCCTGAATAATGTCCTCTAAGGCAGGGATAGTTTTGAGTTCTTAGGGAGGGGGGCATTTTCTTTAACAAAAAAATGGTATGTGCAGGATGGAAGGGTAAATTTAGTTTACTCATTAAATTGTACAAATAATTCCAGTGGTTTTTGTAAAGGCTTTTGAGGGTGAGCTGCTTTCTTCCTGGGCAAAGTTTTTGTGACCCATTCAGGGCCTGGGACGTGTATGTGGTCCTGTCCCAAACAGGACTGCCAGATAGAGAAATCCATGGGAGTGGTGCCTGGGGAAGGTGGAGTTTGGGCAAGAGAGGATGCTCTGTGGGGATGTGAAGCCACAGAGTCCTTTCTTCAAAGCTGCCATTTCCTCCAGGGGAACTAATCTCTTTAGCCTGGAGATGAGTTGAATTTCTGTGAGAACTTCAGGCCCCACCTGGAGGTTGACAACCCTAGGTTCCTCAGCAGCATGGCCATTAGAGGCCATTGATGTAGATGACCCAGGAAGAGCTGGACATTCTCTATTTATTTATTGACCTTCGTACCCTTCCTTTTCTCAGGGAGATCGTGGTGAGAGGGGCCTGGTGGGTACTCCAGGGCCACAGGGGAAAGTGGTGAGTATGTATGAGTCTGGAGTTCTTTCATCCAGTGGGACCGTTATTCCTTTTCCATCCTTCCCTGAGATATCCATTTATTATTCTGCAGTTTCTCCATGTGTTGTTCTGCCTTTTCTGTACCTTCCTTCTCCTTACCGTTTACCCAGTTGACTGACTCCTAAAACTGGAGCTTTGCCACATGCAGTTAGACCTCCAGCATCCAGATGCTGGGGAGAACCTTGGTCCTCTGAATATAACTGAGTCTGCAAGCCTTTCTTCCTGAGGCCCTGTGTTCACCAAAGTTCTGATATCTGAGGCTTACTTTTTCAGAATTAAAATGGGAGGAATAATGTTTACCTTTTAAAAGTTTTAAGGGCAAGAACTAATGGCATGAGGAGGAACTGGCCTTCTGTGTCTCTGCTTGATTCCTGAGTGAGCCTTCAGCTTGGTAGGTAGCAAGGATTCATGCAGAGATGCAACAGGTAGCCTCCTCCGAAGGACAGTAATTCTGCTGCACCCTTGCATGGAGAGTGAATAAATGACTCAGTTGTATTTCCAGAGTTACCAGAATTACATTCCCCTTGCTGAGGCCACTGGGAAGGAGCCAGAGCCAGAGATGGGGGTCATGCAGAGCAGGTTAGGCTGTCTGCTCTGGGAGTGGACTGGCTCTTTCACTTGCTGGGAAAGTTCTTGGTGGGCCGTTTTCAGCCAGGAGCAAGCTAGGCCAGGGGGCACCTGCAGTGCGACCACGCCTTCGGGTTAACTGGGCTCTGCTTGCTCCAGGGCTGTGTTAACATCCCAATCTGCTCTGGCCTCCTCTGCTATTATTCTTTAGGATTTGTGTTGTGCTTTCACATTCCCAAAGCACACTGGCTTTCAATGTGCTTACAGCAGCCCTGTAAGGTGGATCAGTTTCATTCCGTATTTCAGAAGGGATGGGTAGGGGCTGAGGCTGAGAGAGACAGAGCAGCTTGGCCATCTAGTGGACGCATGGTAAAGGTGACATTCGAACCAAGGGCTTCCTGAAGTTGGAGAGAGAAGCTGTCTTGTGGATGATATAGGAATTAGTTCTGTGTATGAAGAAGAGTTGAATGTATATGAAAGAAGAAAGTAAAGTTAAAGAGAAAAATAAAAAGTCTGAGTGACAGGATAAAAAGAAACAGTAAACATATATGGCCTAAGGAAAAAAGTGTTACAAAGTTACATGCCAAAATCCCTGACAGTGTGAGAGAAAAGTGTGTGAAAAACCAGTTGGAATTGTTCAGTATTTACCCATTCCTAGATACAGAGTACTATCCTGTTAATTACGAATTATATCAATAAATCTACTTTTATTAAGATACCAGCTCTGAAAGAAATACTTCCCAGGACCACATTCCTGCAGTTATTTAATTTCTTCCTTTCTCTCAAGCTGCCAGTGGGGCATTCGGTGCATACCAGCCAGGCCTAGACACAGTTCAGTGTCTGAGATTTGGGGTGTCAAGTTTGTCCATTTTCATACTGCTAAATTTGCAAACATCAGTTCCCTCAGTCCAAAAATTCTTCCAGGCCATTGTTTACTATGGGGCAGCAGAAGGGATAAGGATGCTAGCAGCCTGGAAGTTGTGTGCTAGTAGTAGGATTGCCAGGCCTGGCAACCAGCAGGAAGGGTTGGGGGCGGGGACATGGGTGTGTCTGTGATGTTGGCTGTGTCACTTCCAGGTACCCAAAAGTGATGCATCAGCACAGAGGCTGGCAGCAATTTTTTCTTTATTTTTCTCCCGCTGCTACTTGGAATGGCGATAGGCAAGACAGAAGATTAGCCAGAGGCCTGTCGCGGAGTGCGCTCCTGGCATCCCCACGTCACCGTTGAATTTAGTAGTCCAGTTGCACCCTGCTGAAGTCCCACTATAGTCACCACACAGACTCAGGTTTAGTGGTTAACTATATACAGTGCAGTTTATTTACAAGACAGCTCTCATCGACAAAATGCTTCGCCAAGCAGTCAACATTCAAATCAGCACACAATGTACAGAACACACACAGTTATATACACTGAACGACCAATCACATTACTGCTGAGTCACTCTGATAAGACATCAGCATTGCACCAGCCAGAACCGATTTGCTCTGGTTTCCTGGACTGACAGTTACTTTGACACCTGTCACTTAGATTGGCATGATCTATTTACACAGTTACACATGCTTCACACATGCTGAATACTTATATATTCCAACAAGGCCACCTGCTGTAGCTGGAGGTCTAGTAACCCTAGCTGGTAGGTACAACTCCCTGAAGCTGGCAAAGGCAGCTGTGAGCCTGTAAGTCTGGGGAGACCAGTTTCGGCCTCCTTTTGAGCAGGCTTGCCACTGGAGGGTTTCCCCTCTTCTCCCTAGCTTGCTTTTCAGCTACCAGGATTTCGTTTATTGCATCTAGTTATTTTAAATATTGAAATCCTACACTTTTCCTTTGACTTGAACAATGTTTCATGCAACCAAAATTTGCACTATGAAGATTTGGTGTAGCTTTTCCAGCTGGGACTGGGAGGAAGGTCATGTCAGCTATCTTCTTCCCAACCCTGCAGCCTTGGACGCACCAAAGAGACGTAGGCGAAGCTTTTCCCTGCATGGAGATAAACTGATGGGAAAGGTTTCTGCCACTGAATTCTTTAGGTTGTTGCGGACACAGGAGCAGGAACATGGGGGACAGTGGGTGAGATGCTTTCATATGCCAGATCGGAGTGTTTAAATGCTAGAAACTGAGCAAGGCAGTCAATCACACAAGGGAGCAGTGGTGTGTCCCCCCCCCGTCCCCCCCCAAGGATTTATAATAATCATGACCATTTCCACAAGACAGCCAGGAATGTTTCACTGTGAATTTACCTGAACCAGCCAGTGAGCGATGGGATCAAAGAAAAGCAGGAGGCAAAAGGTTCAGTCTCTTCCAAGGGCAGCCGAAAGGCCTTCAGCGTAAGGATGAATGTTTTCACAAGAATTAAACATTTCTGAGCGCATACAACAACTTCAGTGTTTTGAGACTGTGAAGGAACAAACTTGTAAGCCCTCCCTGTTCCTTTGGGTTGGTCCCCAAAAGGTTGGGAAAATCCCATGGCCTGCTTCAGCCAGAGTGCTTCGCATAACTGAGAGCTTGAGGGCTCTGACCTTGGAGCTTGAGGGCTCCTTCCCCCCACCCCTTCCCTGCTACCAGCTATGAACTCACAGGTGGGTGCCAGCTCATGGACAGAATGCAGTCCCTCTGGCTGAAGTACTGGGGTGAATTTCTGGGTGGAGGGCATTTCTCCACAGACTTGTTTGTATAGCCCTTTCCCTGTGCTTCAGAGAAGGAGAGGTCATAAAGAACCCCTTGGCATCCCGTGTGAAAATGGACAACCTGGTGCTAGCCACAAGCTGCAGTTTTTTAAATGCATGAACAACAAACCTCAGAGATCTTTGCAGAAGAAACGTCTGCCTGGGAAGTCTCAAAACAACCCTGTTCTTTCTTCTGATCTGTTTTGTTTGCCCACATCTTCTGTTAAGGTTAGAGAAAAATCACCAGGCTGTGCCCCGTGGGCATCAGAAAGTTTGTCGCTGAAACTACTGGTACCTCAGCAAGATCTCTTCTTGGCCATAATCACTCAGCTTAGTAATGGGAGCTGCTGTCATGTTTGTCTCGTTACTTTGAGGGCTGTTAAGAGAGATAACAAAACAAAGGGTGTTTGTCATCAGTATTGTGTAGCAATCAAAGCAACACTGGACAGGGGCCTGAGTTCAAATCTTTCTTCTGCCCTGACACTCACGGGGTGACCATGGGCCAGTCACTCTCTCCACCTAACCTACCCCACACAATTTTTGTGAGGAGAGGAAACGCATGTACGCTGCCCTTGGCTCTTTGGAAGAAGGGTGGCACGAAAACATGACTGGCTGATCTGCTCTTCTCTAGTCATTTGGTGCAGGGCAGCTTCTTACTGTGTATCCTCCTCTTTGGTGGTGCTCAGACAGAATCCCCTCCAGAAATCTCTCAGGTTTCCCGTTTGAGGTTTGCTGTGGATTCCAGTTCTGACAGTGTTGAATGTTTTTAAAGCATGGAGAAGCGCTTAGATACCCCATCACATAGACTAACATGCAACGAGCTGGCATGTAACCTGTGGCCAACCTGAGGGAGACTTGTGAAGGTGGCAGCCTCTCTGGTTCACTTTCCTTGACTTTCGTTATCGGAAAGATTCCCACTCCGGGGAAGGTGCCTTTTGCCTGCAGATCCTCTTCCTTCTCAGGAGTTTCCTCTTTGTTCTTTTATTTGCAGGGCGCTAAAGGGGAGCAGGGCCCCCCGGGAATCCCAGGCCCACAAGGTCTTCCTGGAGTTAAAGGTGACAAGGTACCATCTTCCCATCACTGACCCAAAAGTAATGACATTAGATGATACAAAGGGAGAAACCCAGTATGACTGGCCAGTCCGAGAGTCTCAAAAAAGGGAAACAAATCTACAACTTGGGCAGGTTCGCAGAAATAGGCATATTTTGCATAGATGTGATTAACTGTCATATGTTGCCTTTTAGAAGGTACTAGTGCAGTATCAAAAAACACAGAGGGGAGGGGAGAAGTTTGATTTGATAGGGTATTAGTGGCCAGAATTGGGGTTGCATATTTTCTGTGCTTAGATTGCTCAGATTATTAAAAATTCTGTGCCTGGACAATCCAGGTGACGCAGCAAGGAAATGTGAATAACTGTGCTTTTTGTTTACCACCACCCCAGTGGGGGCATTGCTGCCCGGTAGAAATGGGAGGTATAACTTTTCTAAATACCTTTGTGGCCTTAAAGGCTAGAAACTTGCTTCACTCACCAGCTGTTTGCTGGGCAGAGAGCTTCCTGATGCTGCAGTGTGCCTGCTCCCACAGGGTTTGCAGACTGGATAGCATACGGTCTTCGTGAGACTGGGGGCTGGGTTGTCCTTGGCATCATGGGTTTGACAAAATTGCCTTGTAGAAACTTGCATATGGTTTTGTAGTAAGATAGATCAAGAGGGGTAGCCGTGTTTGTCTGTCTGTAGCAGTAGAAAATAGCAAGAGTCCAGTAGCACCTTAAAGGCTAACAAAGAAAGAGGTACTTTTCTCCCTTTCTCACAATACAAGAACTCGGGCACTCAATCAAATTGCTGAGCGGTTGGGTTAGAACGGATAAAAGGAAGTACTTCTTCACCCAAAGAGTGATTAACACATTGGAATTCACTGCCACAGGAAGTGGTGGCGGCTACAAGCATGGGCGGCTTCAAAAGGGAATTAGATAAGCATATGGAGCAGAGGTCCATCAGTGGCTATTAGCCACAAGGTATAGATAGGGACTCTGGGGCAAGTGATGTTCTGTCTTCCTGGTGCTTGGGGGGGGGTCAACAGTGGGAGGACTTCTAATGTCCTGGCCCCACTGGTGGACCTCCTGATGGCACCTGGTAATTCTGGCCACTGTGTGACACAGAGTGTTGGACTGGATGGGCCTTTGGCGTGATCCAACATTGGCGTCTCTTATGTTATGTTCTTAAACATTGTGGCAGGGGATGAGCTTGTAGTAAGTACTGCTTCTCCTAAATGCCACATCTTTCTGTTCCATCCTCTAGGGCTTCCCGGGGAAAATTGGGTCCAAAGGTGATATAGTAAGTATCCATTCTTGCTTTAAAAAAAAAAGTTTACTTCTTTCTTCTTGAGGTGAGCTTGGTTAGAGCCACTGGAGAATTACCAGCTGCCCTGGGTGCTATTTGTCCAACCCTACTCGCTATACTTTGCATTCCAGTGGTTCAGTGAGGAGCATAGCATGCTAAGCAGGTGCGCACCTGGAGATCCATGTAAGCTCTAGAGGAATAGGACTTGATTTGTCAAGGGGTGGGTGTGTATTGCAAATCTTAGGAGCCAGGTAGAGTTTCTATAAGCCAGGAAGCGTAATGTTCAGCAACCCAAATATCAGTTGTCAGGCTTGGTTTTCAGATCCCATTTGTTACGGGGAACCTGGATAGGGATGTAATAAATAAATAATATTTTATTCATTTACTTGCAATATTTCCAAGGTGATTACAGTATAAATCTGAAACAAGGCCGTACAAAACCCTGGCATCGACCTTGAAAGCCTGACAGGATCTGGGTGCCTTCCTGTCTCCTGAAGCCCTTCTCTGTCCTCACCCCACTTAAAAAGATGAGGCAGGAAGTGGGACTGTCCCCCGTGAGGCCCGCCTGGCACCATCACACCTTGCACTAAAAATGCCCGGCTTTTCTCTTTAATTCAGACTTCAGGCTGAGTCTGTTGTTTGTTACAGTCCTTGCCCTGACAATCTGTGACACAATTGTCACTTGACTCAGCTCAGGGGCTTTATGAGAATGTGCTGAGATCAGCCACAATGGCTGTTTTGCTACTGATTTTACATGTGCATTTTGATTTCGCCGCTTTACATTTTTGGCTTGTTCATTTACCTTTCGCTTTTTAAAAAAACCATAAATCTGGTTCTTTTTGTATGTCTTGATTTCTGGTGTTAATCAGCCTTGATCAACTGGGAAATGTGGGATAGAAACATTTTTCATAAAAGTACCTGCCTTAGACTGAATCAGACCCTTGGTCCACCAAGGTCAGTATTGTCCACTCAGACCAGCAGCAGCTCTCCAGGGTCTCAGACAGAGGTCTTTCACATCACCTCCTGCCTGGTCCTTTTAACTGGAGATGCCGGGGATTGAACCTGGAACCTTCTGCAAACTAAGCAGAGTCTGTACCCCTGAGCTACAACCCCTCCCGTAGCTATGGTGTATTCCTCATAGCAAACTTGATGGTTGGATTTCTGTCAGTAAAACAATGAAATAGGGCCAGAACATGTGTTATACTGTTGAAAATATTACACTATATGTAAAGGAAAATGTTAAAAATCAATAAAAATTGTTAATAATAATAATAAAAAATAGGGCCAGAACAACAGTTGAGGTTTCAGCATACTCTGAGGACTTCCTTGGCATGCTGGGAAAAAAAATTAGTTTGTAAATTTTAAAAAAGGAAGTGGCGGGGTGGGGAGGGCTCCCCCAAAGAAGAAGAGATTGGATTTCTACCCCGCCCTTCACCACCCAAAGGTGTCTCAGAGCGGCTTACAAACTCCTTTCCCTTCCCCTCCCCACAACAGACACCCTGTGAGGTAGGTGGGGCTGAGAGAGCTCTGTCACAAACTGCTCTTTTTCAAGGACAGCTTTTATCAGAACTATGGCTTGTCGAAGGCCATCCAGCCAGGTGCAAGTGGAGGAGTGGGGAATCAAACCCTGTTCGATTAGAGTCCGTGCACTTAACCACTACACCAAACTGACAAGTGCTGGGCATGCCTGTTGTCCTCCCAGAATTCACAGAGGGCTGGATCCCATGTTTCTGTCCCATGTATGGTGGTGGTTTCCCCCAATGCCAGAAGACTCCTTGCACTGGGGAGGGGGCAGAAGGGGGGGGGAAGCACCAGCATTCATGAGATCAGCAGGATTCAGCCCAGCTGACTGCTGAACATTGCTGAATGTTAGTTAAAGGGGAATTGGTGAATGTTAGTTAAAGGGGAAAACATGGAATATGGTGGGACAGATGGAGCAATCATCCTGCTTGATCCCCCTGGGGATTTTACTATCCCAGAGAGGGAGATTTCCCAATGATGTACTCCTGCACTTCTTTGCAGAAGCTTAGCATTTAAATAAAAAATACAAACCCAAGTAAACCCAAAATAAAATAAAAGCAACATTCATTATTATTTGTAGTAATAATAATAACTGTTGTATGTTTGCAGCTTGCTGACTTCAACTGTTTTGGCCTCTTGGATTAAATTGGTTCTGCAAATGGCACTCCTGGCTACCTATCCAGTGTGCCCTGATTCCACAGGGCAACATGCTTCAGGGCAAAGTCCCTTGGCAAAATCCTTGGCAGGGAGAAATAAATGTTAGGGAGTGGTGTTAGTGGCTGGTGAGTTACCACCAGAGCAGAGTTGCACATTATAGTGCAGAGCCAAGTCCCAAAAGAGTCCAATGTCCACACAGTTAGGTGGGAAGGAATATGTACAAGGTTTTATTTACAAAAAGTCCTGTAAAGCAGTGCAGGTATACACAAGTCCAACTGACAAAGTGCTCCGCCATACACCAATACGTCAAAGAGGATAAAGTGGACTGTACAGTGAATGCTTATATATGTACATTAATCAATCAGCACTCACTGCTGAGTCATTCTGATATTGCTATCACAAAGCCAGTCAGAACCGGTTCACTCCAGCCAGAACTGCTAGCATGAGGACTGTTTGCTGTCACTTAGATGAACAGAATCTGACACCTCATATCTTCTCACTCTGACAATAAACTCTTCTGGGGTGGTTCAGGACAAATAGTTGCACCAGAAACATAGGGATGGAGCAGTGAGGCAGAAGGCGAAGGGATTTCTTTGGCTTGACGAGGCAGACTGTTACTTGGCCCTCTCCTCTTTCCTCACAGGGAGATCCCGGTGTCGAAGGCCTGCCTGGGGAGAAGGGAGAGAAGGTAAGAGGATCTTGCTTGGCTTGCTCATTCTAATCTGAGCCGGCGGGTAGCATTCAGCGGGTGGAAAGTACTCGGCTGAGCCAGATCCAGGGATGTGCTGGCTCCTCTGTCCCTTCCTTTCCCCGGAAGAAGTGGCTGCTCCAAGGGTTGTACAGAATGAACAGAAATCTCTCCCATGATCTCAGTGGAGGCTGGGCAATGCCAGGATCAGAATTTGCCTGTGCCGTTATGAAATAGAGAAAGCCATTCGTTTCCATGGGACATTGTTGGGGAGAGGGATAAACTTGCCACTGGCAACTCTAGTTTCTCAGGACTGATGCCTAGTTTCTGTTTTGTGATTTGTAGTCCATAAAACATAATGGGACCCATAAAATTGCTCCCTTCCTATCTGGAGGGCCTCCCCCTTAATGCTGTCTTTTGGTGTACTTAATTTGAATGTTGTAACCTTGCATGACCTTGCCAACTACCATGTGAGGCCTAGAGGTGTTCAGGGATTACATCTGATCGCCAGATGACAAAGCTCAATTCCCCTGGAGAAAATGGCTGCTTTGAAGGGTGGACTTTTTGGCATCCCATCTCTGCTGAGCTCCATACCCACCCCCCAGGCACCACCCCCAAATCTTGTTGATTTCCCAACAGGGAGTTGGCAACTTTAGCTGTGCCCTTGAGTTTTATCAGAGTGGCCATCTGTGTTTGATCCAACAAGAGGACAAACGAAAGGAGAAGAGCTCTCCAAAGAAGTGGACAAAAGGGGAGAGGGAATTGTAGTACACAATTTGCTTATGCTAATTTACACATTTATTATTTAAGGAGAAATGCAACCCATCATAGTGTCAGCTCTCCTTGCTGGGCAGGTGATAACTGTAGATGGAGAACTTCTCAAGATGCCTCCTGCTTTTTGTCTATGGCTCCACAACTTTGAGTCAACCCAAAACAGCTTAGTCTAATTTGAGCATCCCATCTTCCAATGTCACAGAGTTAGGGATAGCCTTATGGCTGCTCAAGAATTTTGCTCCACAGCCACATCAGCTGTTTGACTGGACAGAGGTAGATCCCAAACCTTTCAGAGGAGAGGCCTCCAAAAAAGAGGCCATCTGGCCACCCTCAGTTTTGTGCCTTCTGCCACTTCCCTTTGATGCCAAAGTTTACAGGCATGGAAAAATATATCTGGTTGGTTCAAACTGGTGCAGGAAATCCAGCTCCCCCTCCACTGCTTCACTAGCCTCCCCACCCTCCGAGCCAGCTTCCTCACTCCTCAGCCTTCAAAACTTCTTGATTCTTCCCAGCAATTTTCCCCTTGTCCTTATTAAAGTCCCCCCTCTCATCAGCTTTTCCACTTTCCTCAAATGATGCACCATTAATCAGTGTACTGACATCTTCTATCTGAGCAGTTAGAATGTTTGTGAACACTCCATGGCTTCAAAGCGATTCTGCCAAGAGCTATTCTTGGGTCAGGTACAAACTAGGCAATCAATAACTGGCTTAGGGGTGAAAAACGTTTCCCTGTTTCTTTCTTCTGTGAGGAAGATCACTGCTTGTCTTGTTTCCTAGACAAGAAAAGTAAAACTAAGCATTTTTGTAGATGACCCAGCCTCGAGGTATGCATGATCTTTTCTTTCTTTCTTTTCCTATTGATACACTGATGGTCGTTTCCCTCTGGATAGTCAAAAGTGGGGCTGCTCTTGTGAGGCTCAGCTTACTTTCTGTTTTTCATTCCTAGGGTGAATCTGGAGAGCCAGGACCCAAGGGACAGGTGATTATTTGCAAAGCAGAATGTAAATACGCCCTGACTTCAGCATTGCAAGTTAGGAGGGTACAAATCTTTATGTAAACAAAAGGCTTAATTTAATCCTGAAGATCTGTGAAGAAAAGCACAATGACGTTGGGGAGGGGTTAGTAGAGAAAAACAAGTCTCTCTGAGGGATACGCGAGGAGTTTCTAAAATGATGTGGGTAAAATTGTGCATGAAGTGAATGAATAAAGCAGCAACATTTTCACTCTGATTGCAAGAGCTCAACAAAGAAGGGACAGCTAGAAGGTGAAAGACCTTCTTGCTTTGTGCAGTGAGTCAGTAACCTTGGAACTTGTTGCTACAAGTTGTTGCGATGGCTGCTTCAAACAGTTTCAAAAATCAGTTTGACGGGTACCGAAGACAGTGTTTCTAAGCCATGATAATCAAAAACTAAAACCCTTGATCAGCTTATGGGGCTATCTTATGTTGCTAACTAGTATGGTCTGGTAGATTTTAACTCTTGTGCCCTGTATGTTGAACCCTCAGTAGTACCTGCCAGGTTGTTGAAACATAGAATCTGGACTTGGATGAATCACTGGTCATAGCCAGTGTGGCAATACAGATTCTATTGATTCAATGCGTAAAGAACTTTCTGGGAGGGTCTTCTCATGGTGCAGTATATCTCCAGTGCACAAAGGGAATGTGGGATACTTGAAAAGAGGCCTCGTCTTACCAGCATCTCTTGTTCCACAGCAAGGTGTCCGCGGAGAACCTGGTTTTCCTGGACCTACTGGGGATGCGGGAGCACCTGGCATCAGAGGGTTCCCTGGACCTCCCGGTCCTCGGGGGCTTGGTGGTGAGCGTGGCGTACCTGGAATGCCTGGGCCTCAGGGTGCCCCAGTAAGTAAATCCCATAATGCTCTATCCTGGCAATGAAAAAGGCATGTGGTATACAGCACCTACTAGGATGAGAAAAGCAGTTGTTTTTGTCGGCTAGAAGACTAGCAGTTATCTGTGGACTTCCCTAATTTAACTCCTGTCTGGGAAACGGTGTTAGTCTTCTGTAGTTCTGGGTCCACAACCATCTGTGTGGGGAAATGGACCCAGCTCACAAGTCCATGACCAGAAGGGATAAAAAGGCCCTCCCTTGACTGCCTTCAACTTGCCAGTCCCAGGTAGAAGGTGCCCACAATTAGAACAGGACCTTCCAAACCTTTGTAAGCCGCCCTGAGCCCTACGGGGGAGGGCGGGGTATAAATCTGATAGATAAATAAATAAATAAGATAAATGCAATTCTGCAGACAAGACAAAAAGTTTCCCTAAACATCCATTGCTCATGTTCATTGGGACTGAATGAATGCAGTCCTGGTTCGGTGGAGACTTCGGTTCAAATCCTTGCTGAGCCATTTAGCATCATATTTGGTTTGAGCAAATCTCTCTCAGTCGAAATAGACAAGACACGAAAAAATCCCTAATAAGGATCAGAGCTAATGCAACCAAAGGGCTATTTAAATCATGGAAGAGATGGGAAGGAAAGAACTGAACACGTTCTTCCCCTCTCACCTCCCTCAGCAACCTTTTCCGGTCTTCAGAGCCTCTCCCCTGGCCTGCTAACTGGCCTTTAAAGTCCGGCAGAAGATCCTAATCACCTCTTGTCTAGCTTGGCCCTCTGGCTAGCCTTCTTGGCAGGGCTGCGGGGAAGATGAGACACTTAAAGTGGTGCAGATGTGATTCCCAAAGAGCATGCCAGAGCAAACTGATAGGTCACAAAAGAGCTGGAATTAGGCTATGATAAAATAGCCAATGAATGTTTAAAAAACTCCTGCAGGCCTCAAAGTAGCTCATAACAGAGGTTGCCTACTGTGTTTCTGAATGATTCACATCTCTGGTTTTGCGTCCAGCAGTAGAGAAACACTTCGCCATGTCTCTGTGTTGTGTGTATTTTTTCAGTCTTTCCTGATTCAGAGACTCAGCAGAATTACCTGCCTGCACAAGAGGCAGCCCATTGTGTCTCTGCATAGATTCACTACTTTGGGTTTCCAGTCACAAGGCATGCCAAGATCAGTGATTCATGTAAATTACAGGGGGTGGGGGTGTGTCTTCTGAAGGTACCTTATTCAAAACCTTTTCAAAGGCAAGAATTTCTCCACTTTGAATTAAGAAGACTGGCAGAAGTTTGAGAAGCAACAGGCACTGGTCTGCCAGGTGATTCCAGTAAACTCAGCCCCTGGGCTGAAGGTTCCAGTCCCAATTTCCGAGGGTTCAGGAGAGAGATAAATAGGCAGAAGAGATTTATGATGCATTTTCCTGATGGTTTAAAGGCCAATAGCAATTGCATACCCCCTTCTGCTATTCACATTGGGCCCACAGCACAGGAGCAGGGACAGAAGAATTTAACCATTCCATCCCTGCACAGTTTGGCAAATCTAATCAAGTCAGAGCCAGCATGGTGTAGAGGGTAAAGTGTCTGATTAACATTGGGCAGGTAAAGGTAAAGGTTCCTTTGCTCGAAAGCCAGTCGAATCCGACTCTAGGGTTGTGGTGCTCATCTCCGTTTCAAAGCCGAAGAGCCAGCGCTGTCCGAAGACGTTCTCGTGGTCATGTGGCCGGCATGACTAAACACCAAGGCGCACGGAACGCTGTTACCTTCCCACCAAAGTGGTACCTATTTATCTACTTGCAATTTCTTGCTTTCGAACTGCTAGGTTGGCAGGAGCTGGAACTAGAGATGGGAGCTCACTCCATCATGTGGCACCCGGGCCTCGAACTGCTGAACTACCGACCTTCCACAGCCTGCAGTTCAGCGTCTTAACCACTTGAGCCACCCAGGTTCAAATCCTCATTTTGTCACAAAGCTAACAGGGCCAGTCACTCTTTCAGCCTAGCCTACCTTATAGTGTTGTTGTTAGAAGAAAAGGAGGAGAGGGTAACCCTGTGTGCCTCCCTGAGCTTGTTAGAGGAAGGGCATTATAAAACTGTGCACGTCTGTGTTCTTAGGAGCTCTAGACAAGAATTTTAGGAGTGTGCAAAGAGTCTTTCTCTTTCCAGGATTAATAAGAGCAGAGACGAGTCAGCTTTGATAACTGAAACTGTGTGGGGGGTGGAAGGGTCTCTGCAGGGCCAGTGAAGATGTTACCCCAGGCTTTTAGTTGAGGGCAACACAGTTAGGACTGCCACCATCTTTCTCCTCCTGTGGTGACCAATGTTCCCTCTAAGGTGTGGAGTCCTGTGAGCAAGAATTCTACTTTGTGAGCTACTGGCCTTAAAGTTGTGAGCAAGTGATTTGGCTGCTGCATATATTAGTTTGCTTTGGAGCCCTCCTTCCTGAGCTAAGGCAAAAATGTGTGAGCCGGAGGCTAAAAAACTGTGAGCTAGCTCACACTAACTCAGCTTAGAGGGAACACTAGTCCCCACGTTCCCCTCCCTGCCCTGCTGCTCAGAGAGCACTGCAACGGCCAAAAGGGGCTGATGGCCATCTGAATCTGATTAATGTATTAATGTACTGTGTTAATTTTATCAGGATTATTATGTTTTATCTGTTTTTATCCGTTTTTATCAGTTTAAAGTTGTCAATTGCCCAGAGCCCATTCACGGGGTTGGGCGATCCATAAATCTAATAAGTAATAATAGTAATAATTAAACTCCTCCCCCCAGCACTGTGGCCCCAACCCAAGGTGGGCTCTTGCATGGTGCCTATTGGCTTTTGAAAGAGTCTGGAAAGATTCCATCGTAGACCACAGAGTCAGTTTTCACCTTTTTAAGTGTCACAATCCTGTCGTGGGCATTTTGGACATTATAAATAAGACCACACCACCCCCTTATGGCCGGTGCCAAATACTGCAAAAATTGATAACCTTTTTTTGACCATCAAGTCACAGCTGACTGACGGTGTTCAAGGCAAGAGATCTTTAGAGGAGGTTTGCCGTTGCCTGCATCCGCGTTACAATCCTGGACTTCCATGGAGGTCTCTCATCCAAATTCTAGCCAGGGCCGAGTCTACTTAGCTTCTGAGATCTGATGAGACTGGGCTAGCCTGGGGCTATCTAGGTCCTGTGGTGGCTCAAGTGGTTAAGACGCTGAACTGCAGGCTGTGGAAGGTCGGTAGTTCAGCAGTTTGAGACCCGAGTGTGCCGCATGACGGAGTGAGCTCCCGTCTCTCGTTCCAGCTCCTGCCAACCTAGCAGTTCGAAAGCAAGACATTGCAGGTAGATAAATAGGTACCACTTCGGTGGGAAGGTAACAGCGTTCCGTGCGGCTTGGTGTTTAGTCATGCCGGCCACATGACCACGGAAACGTCTTCGGACAGCGCTGGCTCTTCGGCTTTGAAACGGAGATGAGCACCGCAACCCTAGAGTTGGAGTCGACTGGCTTTCAAGCAAGGGAACCTTTACCTTTTTATCTAGGTCAGGGTTTATGAAATAAGAAACATTTGAATGGATGCTTCCGTTTTCCTTCATCTTCCCAGAAGACCAAGGGTATAGCAGGGTAAACAGCTCCATTCAGCACTATTTTATCTCTACAAAGTAGCTTAGCATTTTACGGGGCATGCAGACAGTAGGCCTTGAGATAGTGGCCTGGAACATCTTCTCCTCATCCCACCAGTCTGGTGAACAGTTCTGGAGAACTCAAAATCTTGTATTGTTTTGGAAGAGTGAATAGTATTATAAAATAGTACTTAGTAATAATTGAAAGTTTCTGGACCCTACGAATGCAAAAATAAGATGACGCATTGTCAGGCTCTCTGTGCATTTTGCAGTTTACAACTCGCCTGTCATTGAGAGAGGAGGCTCCTCTCTCTCCCTCTCTTTGAAATGTCTGGGGCTTGTCACCTTCGCGATGCCAAATGTCCGGGCTTCTCAAATGTCTGTGCTCTTGTTTCTTTGCTATGAAAGGCTACGTGCCTATGGGGGGAAGGGGGGGAGCTGACGGTTAGTTCTGGAGGGCAAATGCTGGGGGTGTGTGTGATTGGGTCCTGATCTTTAGTGCTTTTACATGAATTCCCTATATCTGTATCCTTCGCGCGTGTAACTTCAGTTCTAACAATAGATGTGTCCAGGATGGTCTGTATCAACTGTCTCAGTAAAGTTAGCTTTCTACAAACCGGCTGGTGTTGAGAACTGATTGAACCAGAAACCTGACACGCATAGGCATTGCTTGGAAAAGCAAAGGGGGCAAGTAAACTGCCCCCTCTTCAGTGTTCTTGCATATCTGTCTGCCTCTCCTTGTGCCTAGCTGAATCAGAAATTATTATGCAAAGTAAGTAATCACAGGCACAGTGGATTTTAGGCAAGAGGACGTGGTCTTTTGCGTCACCCAGTCTGGACTGAGTCACAGTTACCCCCAGGATGCATCATTTTGCCAACCTGTTGGTTTCTTGATTGCTGAGCTGATCAGGATGTGATTATATTGCTGCCCCTCCCCTCTTTCCCCTGGGGCACTGAGAAGACCAACATGGCTTGGGCTGGGGGGGTGGGCAGGAATGGAGGAAGGAGCCCAGTGCTGTGTGCTGAGAGGCAAAGGAAAGCATCCCTTATTTAACTGCATTACTTTTTTTGTAAGTTGCTTTGAGGAATGTAAAAATGTGTAAAAATGAAATAAGTGCTATGATAGCCATGTATGAATGAGATCTTTCTTTTTTGCCTCTGCAGGGCAGGGATACAGGAGATCAGCACATTGTCGACGTGGTCCTGAAAATGTTGCAAGGTAAGGTACCAAAATAATGTAAGAGACCTGCTGGGTCACACCCAAGACCTTTTGGGTCCGGCACATCCTGCCTGCAAGGCCCAGGCAGCACTCCGGGAAGCCCACAAGCAGGCCACAAAGGCAGCAGCCCTCCCCTCCCTCTTTGGTCATCCCACAGAACCAGATAATCTGGAAATGGAAGGTCCATTTAGCTTTCATAGCTCATCATGGCCCTCGGTGGTTGGGAGAGCACAGAGTCCCCTTTAAAGCCTTCTAAGGCCTCGTTGATGCATTCCCCCAGGACTAAACAGCACAGCTTTTCTCGGGATTCAGGTTGCTGGTGGGGCCTGCAGAGCCTTTGAATTCCAACCTGAAAACCATTTTCCCACATGCATAATGCTAACGTTAGGAGAAGAGTTCAACCTCGCCTTCTCCCTGTTGTGCTCTCTTTTTGTGGGCAGGGTGTTTGTTCATGAGGAAGCATTCAAAGCATACATACAATTCTCTTTGCCTGCAGCCTGGGGCAATGCTCCCTCTAAGCTGTGGAGCCCTGTGAGCAAAGATTGTACTTTGTGAGCTATTGGTATTAAAGTTGTGAGCAGGTGATTTGGCTACTGCATACATTAGTTTGCACTGGAGCCATCCTTCCTGAGCTAAGACAAAAAGGTGTGAGCCGGAGGCTAAAAAACTGTGAGCTAGCTCACACTAACTCAGCTTAGAGGGAACACTGGCCTGGAGTGGGTCACTTTCAGGCAAAACTTTACAACTTGTTTTTGTTTGAACTGTTTGGCTGTTAACCAGTCTCCATCAACATATCTTGTGGCAGGGAATTCTAGGGGTTAACTGTGTACTGTTTTGAATCAGGAGGGAAGTACGTATCAGTTTGGTATAGTGGTTAGGAGCACGGACTCTAATCTGGGAGAACCGGGTTTGATTCCCCACTCCTCCACATGCAGCTGCTCGTGTGACCTTGGGTCAGTCATAAGTTATTTTGGAGCTGTTCTCTCAAGGGCAGTTCTCGGGACAACTCTCTCAGCCTCCCCTACCTCACAGGGTGTCTGTTGTGGGGAGGGGAAGGGATTGTAACCCGCTCTGAGACTCCTTTGGGTAGTGAAGGGTGGGGCATAAATCCAATCTCTTCCTCCTCTTCTTCACACAAAGCATGCTGGGTGACTTTGGATCAGTTACAAGTTATTTCAGACTATTCTCTCGTGAGCAGTTCTCGAAACAGCTCTCTCAGCCCCAGCTACCTCACAGAGTGTCTGTTGTGGGGAGGGGAAAGGAAAGGAGATTGTAAGCCACTCTGAGACTCCTTTGGGTAGTGAAGGGCGGGGGTATAACGCCAATCTCTTCTCTTCTCCTTCTATATCTTCCAACTTCTGTGTTTCTTTGCTGTTCAGAGCAACTGGCTGAATTAGCCGTGAGTGCTAAAAGAGCCTCCCTGGGTGGGGCAGGTGTGATGGGACCTCCTGGGCCTCCTGGCCCCCCTGGGTCTCCTGGTCACCAAGGGCCACATGGACATCCTGGCGCTCGCGGCATCCCAGGAATCATCGGGGCTGTGGGGCAGATTGGCAACACTGGACCCAAAGGTAAGCCTGTTTCCCTGTATGGAAATCCATCTGGACGTCTACAGAATTCCAGCACTCCTTCCAGGCCAACTGGTGAAAGGGGTCGGGGAGGGCATTGTCGAAGTCCGATGACATCACTTCCGGGGAAAACCAGTGACGGCGGGTGGCTTTAGGAATCATCAGAAACTCTATGGCTTTACTGTCCTGACCTGGATAGCCCAGGCAAGCCCGATCCTGTCAGGTCTCAGAAGCTAAGCAGGGCCAACCCTGGAAAGTAATTGGATGGGAGACCTCCAGGAAATCCCAGGGCAAGGAGGCCAGAGGCAGGTGATCAAGCCACTTCTCTGAATGTCCTCCCTGGCCCAGCCATGACTTCCAGGCACGAGGGTACACATGCACGTGCACACACACACACACACACAACATGCAAAAATGCCCCCTCCCCCCAAAAGAAAGAAACTCTATGACTTTACCTAGAGCTACCTGCTTTCACTTTTGGGTTTCCCCTGGAAGGGATGTTACCTCATCATGCTGGCAATGCTGCTTTTTTTTTTTAATTACTCCCCAGCCAACGCTTGAAGCGGTGGTGGGCAGTGGGCACCAGTAGAGTAACCATCAATTAAAAAAATAATAAAACAGCATCCCCAGTGATAAACCATCCCAAACTTAGCACTTATAAAACCATCCAAATGCCACAGCAAGGAGTAACACAATCCAAAAAGTGTTGGCATTGGGCAGGAGTGAGGCCATAAAATACTAAAACAGGTGGGATAAAACTTTAGTTAAGAACACAGGCATGTCTGAGAAGGCAACCAGGAGAGCCTCAAAGGGGGGAGAGCATGCCAGAGAGACACTGCCTTCTGAAGTTAGGTCGGTGGATGTCTGAGATGTAGCCACATTTGCAAAAAGAAAGTACCCCAATTGCAGAATGCCCTCCCCAAGATATTCATCAAGCACCCCATCGACTGAATTTTAGGCACCCGCTGAAACCTCTTTTATCTGTCTGAGGGTTTTACCAATTGACCAGCTTCTTGCTGCTTTACGTATGTTGCTATTGCTATTGACTTCAAGCTCCTGCTTTATCGGTTTATGTGTTTACTGTCATGAGGTTTTATATGTACTGATTACCAGAAGCCAGCTTAGAAATGTTGTCAGTGGAAATGGGAGATGGAAATATCTGAAATGAAGCAGTCGCCAAATCATCCTTCCTGCCACATGCATCTGTAGCAATCAAACTCTCTCTGGCTTTTCCCCCTTCCAAACTTATAGGAAAGAGGGGAGAGAAAGGAGAGCAAGGAGAACCTGGGCGTGGACATCAAGGGATGCCAGGGCCGCCAGGTATCCCAGGTAAGATTCCT